TCTAAATGATTGTACAAATGTAAATTATGTAACTATTTGTGTGAATTCTTTCCTGTCATTACTACTGACAATAGTGTATAATGAATGATCTGATTAATATTTGATATTTAACAATAAATTCTACTATTTCTTTTTATCAAAAGAGCTTGGATATTAACGATCCAACTATATCAACACCTATCAAACATATTGAAACAACTTCGGGGATCATTGAAGAAGAAAACTTCAAGGAAACTGATCATTCTTCGGTAAATATTTGATATCTAGTAATAAATGCTAGTGTTTCGTTAATTCAGAAGAGATCGGATGTTAACGACCCGAATACATCAACACCCATGAAACATAGTGAAATAACATCGTGGATCACTGAAGTTCAGGTTGGAGAAAACCTCAAGGAAACTGATCAATATTTGATATCTAGTTAATAAATGCTACTGTTTCTTTCTTCTTCTTCAGAATATGACTACCGAAATAACTAAAGTGAATAAATCACTTTAGTGTTTATATGTTTTAATACTATTGGTTGTCCATTCTTTGTTTTATGTATGGATCGTATGATTTGAAGATGGGAGCATAATAGAAAGAGAAGTTATGAATAATTCTCAGGAATGTCTTGTAACTATGTATCAATTATATGATTGTTTACGTAATAACTAATGTAATTTTAATAGTTGAATTTTATGAATCAATTGAAGCTAGACTATCATGAAAAAAGCCTGGAATCATTGTATGACCGCTTCGTGGTGTGGCCCCCAAATGCCCTTGTATGGCCGAGAGCGGGGTGGGTTCGCCCTCCCTCTCGAAATACTCTCACACGGCCGCGAGTATACAGCCTCTGCTAGGGAAGTCCTACTCACTGACTTCTCGTGGCGGGGGTGTTGTTTACGAAAATGAGAGGACGAAAAGCGAATGTCCGGCGCTTTAACCGGATTCTAAACCAATGGTGCACATGGGCTCCAGTATCCTGCGGGAACAAATGGCGTATGAACCAATTTTCGGTCACCGGCTACCATGGGACTGCATCTCCTTACGTTCCTCCACTGCTGTGCGAATTAGACCTTTAGGTCAAAGGCTCGGGGAGTGGCCCCCTAAGATAACCACCTGCTTCGGTCTGGGCAGTATCGCAGCCCACACGCAATTAATGAACTGAAATTGTGTGGCGCATATATATTTGGCGCACTCCTGTACCAATATATATGTGTTCAAATAATAATAACTATGGGATTTGAACTCAGAATCTATCGGTCCTGCGTGTGAACTCTTAATCAAACTTCAATTAACTCATGAATTCAATTATTAAAATGACTTAATTATTAACTATTCAGTGAAAGCTGGATGATAAACCTAAATTAGGTATTTGGCGGCCCTGTATCTGACTCCAGTGGTGGTATGATGATAAAATCGTGTATGTGCAAAGGGTGAGTTGAGCATATATATTGTCATTAATTTACAAGTAATATGTGCGGGAATGGAATCCGGGACACGCGTCACTTCACTCTTCAACTAGATGTACCTGCATCGCAGAGTCGATACTCAGTACGGTATTGAAAGTCAGTACCATTCACTGTAAACATCATCACCTTAGCTATTAAATATAGATACCCACTGACTTCTACAGCTTTAATGCAACATATAAAGGTGAGCACAAATTTGGTAAATGTTTATCCTGTGGCAAACTGGATTCTCAGAGAACACATCCCCATCGTAATGCTGAATGTTTTAATTGTGACAAAACTAGAAACATTATGTTGGTTTGTAGGACAACTGCTGTTCACTTCGCTAATGGTGATACTAAACTCTACTATTAGGCTCTTATAACAGTGGAATTTCTAATGATCATATTTCATTTTTATTTACGATTTCGAAAAGGTACGTTCCATATGAAAAGCGATTATACATCTTCTTTGGTTCATTCTACGATTTTATTGTTGATAGTTCATTATTTCATTCAAAGCTTAATCTTAAGAAAAGCATAAGGTCGTGTGGTCTTTAATAGCTTTCATAAACGATACCAATACTTCGATAGCTATACTGGGTTAAGGGATAGAAAACCCAACCTTCATTATTGAATTCTCGTTTGTTAAGTCAAAAACACACCATAGTTGAAGCTAGAGATATTCTTAATCAAGCAAAGATGGATAGTGGCTAGCAGTGGAACGGGGGACGCGCGTTTCATCCTGTTTGGGACTCGTCAGCTGCATCTCAGCGTTGATGTTCACTCTGGGATTCGAACTCAGTACCGTTCGCTTCAAACGCCATCGCGTTATCCACTTAGCTACTGAGTCCTGATAGCCACTTGCTTGTGCAATGGGGTGAAATTTAATTCACTTGATATTGTTTTTCTTGAATCTTCCCATTGATGTTTTAGGACTGAAACTGATCAGTCATCAATGGGAAGATTCAAGAAAAACAATATCAAGTGAATTCTTAATCAAGTTCACTATTCTATGAAGTTGATCCAATAAGTATCTACCTTCGAATTCACTTAGATAAACTGTCATCAATCTGAACAACTAACATCACTTTATAGCCTATTTCAATACTACTCTCTTCCATTTGGTTTAAATTGTTCTCCAGTCATATTTCACGAAATAATGAATAATCTAGTTAGCAATGTTAAAGGTGTTGATGTTGGGTCAAGATGATCTCAATATTTATGATTCTTATAAAATAATATAATGATCAATAACTCACTTCTTTGTTACATTGTCTAATTAAGAAAAAGATTGCCATAAATTCAAATCCATGTTCGTTTTGTGTATCTAGTAATTGATTGTTTTAAATATTTAAGTCACAGTAATGACTTCAGATCAGATATGAAGCCACCGAGTCCATTTATACCATTTGTACTATCCTCCGAAACATCTCATACCAATTACGTTTATTAGTAGATGATCTTCAATATTGTTCTCAATTTTCCTTATTATGTCAAATCTCTACTTCAAATTTTAATATTCCCACTCATTTCTATGGAATGTGTAACAAAACTATTGATTTATAAGTTTATTGAACATTTTTTTGATATGTTCCCCTTAGATAACCATCATTTGTAACAATGTTGCTTATTCATCATAAAGAAAGGGAAGAGGTTAGAAAACATCGACCGCGAAAATATTACATCACACTACCTAACCCCATGAATTTCCATCTCTTTATTCATTTTATTTGAACACATAAATATTGGTACAAGAGGGCACCAAATATAAATACGCCACACAAAACAATGAGAATTCGAAGAGAAAAAAAGGAGGTAAGGAGCGTAAAAAAAGGAACAACAACGAACAGATTGGTGTAAGGTAGTGTAACAATAATAATGGGGGAAACGGAAAGGTACAATCAGAAGAAATCTTTTAGTTAAGGAAGAAGCAACCACTTTTTATGAAGAAAGTAAAAGAAGGTTACAGCAGGATCGCCACTGGCTTCTATTCTGAGCCATATCTGATAACGGCTCTAGCCACTGTGTAGCACCATCTCTCGGACTCCAGCCAGGGAGTCGTGAAGGACCAACACAAGCCAGCCCTTTGTAGCTTTCTTTTATACCACGACACCATGTCATGCACTGACCACCTCTCCGCTTCTTCCAACCAGTCCCAGAGTCGGCAAATAATGCACGGCATGGAATTCTCTGGGACGACATTCATACAAGATGACCAAGCTGCCGAAATTGATGCTCCAAGATAGTGACACCAATTGAATTATCATCTCTGTGCCCGAACACACGATGCCGAACTTCTGCATTACTAACATGGTGTTGCCACTAGATGTCAGAAATCCTTCGGAGACAACGATGATCGAACACAGAGAGTAATCTAACATCTTCAAATCGGAGAGGCCAGGTTTCTCAAACATAGAGGAAAACTGCTCTCACCGACGCATTGTAGATCCGACCTTTTACAGCCAGACTAACATCACGAAGGCGCCAAAGATGTCCCAGATTGGGATAAGCCGCTCTGGCTTTCACTATACGTGTATTGCTCTCATCACTCACGCCCCCACCAGCGCTTATGCAGCTACCTAAATACACGAACTTCTAGTGGTTAAGTTTTCTCAAACACGGGAACGAACAACATATCAAAAATCTTTTCATAGAAACATTATGTGTAACTGGCACCAAAGAATTGTCTGTTTGGTTTTGTGGTAGCTAAGTTTACCTGAACATATATCTTTATGGAGGATCAAGAGATGGAATTGTTCTCTCTCTCTTTCAACTCTCCAAATCTTTAATGTGAATAGGAAAGTAGATAAGAATGAACCGAACAGATATATTTTATATTCAATAAATGCACCTTATTTTATTCTATGAATAGAAAAATAGAAAAAAAAAACGGAAGTTTTTATTTTGTTCATTTGATCATCTATCTATGATAAATTCAAACAAATATACAATACAATACATACATATATATGAAAAGAATAAAAGTAGATAGGAAAAAGTGAATGAACAGTTTGGAAATAGGAAAAAAAAGAGGAAACTTTCAAGATAGAGTGAAATTTGAGACCTCTCCCCCGTACACACACACACACACACATACAGAGTGAGTTCGAACAATCAACAGAAAAAGATCAATGAATCTGAGGAATTGGAAAATAATAACAAAAGACAATATAAAAAGAAACCAATAAGTAATAATAATAATAATAGTGGTATACTCTTCATCATATCAAATTGTTTCATCTTTTAATTGGGGGGGACACACACACACACACACACGTACATACATACACACAAAGAAAAAATGGACAAGCGTACCGGTAATCACTACAACACATTATGAATGGAATCAAGGAGAATGAAATAGAAGAGAAACAGAGAGAGAGAGAGAGAATAGAAGGAATGACAAGGATTTAGTATGGATTTCGAAAGTTGAACTCATTCACACACACACACACAAACATCCATATAATTCTTATGGGAAAAAAATAATAACAAAGTAGTATAATTTCTTCTCTTTTTTGTTTTGTTGTTATTTCTGTGCATATTTCCTATATTGTATTCTATTCTAATTAATACATAGTTGACTACGTTCCATTAATGATTTTAAGTATAAAGTTATAGATTGTTCTGTGATAGAATTCAGTAATACAGGTAACTACATCAAGAAATTAAAAAAATAAATAAACAAACAAACGATAATAACAATGAATGAACGAATGATATGAGAAAACATAGTAATCATATGTATATCATCATTATTATTGTTGTTCCCATTTCAGCCCCCCACCCAAATGCCCTGGTACGGTCGAGAGTGGGGAGAGTCAACTCTCTCTCTCTCTCTCGAAATGCTCTCACATGACTATGTGCATACAACCACTGTCAGGAAAATCCTACTCACTACCTTTTCGCGGCATTACTGTTGTTTACGAAATTGACAGAATGAAAAGCAACTGTCCGGAGCTTTAGATGGGTTGGTGGCGAGTTGGAAAACTCCGATTCCAAACCAATTTTGTACATGGGCTCCAGTATCCTGCGGGAACAAATGGCGTATGAACCTATTGTTGCTAACTGGCTATCATTGGACTGTATCTCTTTACGTTCCTCCACTGCTGTGTGGATTAGACCTTTAAGTCCAAGTGTGGCTCCTAAGAAAACCACCTGCTTCGGTCTCGGCACCCTGGCAGTATCCCAGCCCTCACATAAATTGAATGATTTATGTGTTTAAATGAATAAATAAACTAAAGATAAGCTGAATTTTAAGTTAATAGACAACTTGAACCGATGCAAGTATATCTCAGGTTCTACATTGATTTTGATTAACTAAACAATACTTTAAAGTTCACCATTGGTGAGTTCAAAGTAATACCGAGAAAATACAGTAGAATTTCGGATTGAAGAACAACTATGAATCATAAATCACCGTTAATAATATTCAACGACTATATTCACATTATTCAGTAGTACAATTTGAAGAAATCACAAAAGAATTAGTCGAAAGTTAATTAGGCGTATGAAAGTGATATGGAATATTTAGACCAATGTAAGAGAGAGTATTTGATTTGGTTTGGAATCAGTTTTTAACTCTCTTTAGATGGAATCATCTGTACCCAACAACCCGGTTTAAGTGTCGGACATTTGCTTTCAATACTTTCACTTCTGTGAGCAACGCCTTACCATCTGAAAGCAGTGACGAATTCCCTGCCAGAGGCAGCGAATAGCAGACTCGACCACGTCTGAGTATTCAGGGGCTGTGATTATACAAACCATTTCTGTTAGTAGAGATTTCGATCGAAAGAGTGTAATACCCAATATTTGGCTAGTACTGGCAAAAGAGAATTGTACATATACAACACTTAGATGACGTTTGATGAGTCATGATGGCAGTTCACTGAAAAAAACTCATTTATGGTTACTAAAATCTCAATCTATTCTGTTGTTGTGTTTTATCTAGATTTTGTGACATTCAAATGAAATAAGAGACAAAGTCAGGAGAATTCGTCAATTGTCATGAAATCACACCTGCACACAATGACGACCCAATGAGACCGATGGTCCTAAGTTTGAATTCGCGTGCGGCATCGTCGACGCGCGCTGCTGAGGAGCCCCCATATTAGGATGAAACAGCCGTCCAGTGCCTCCACGTTTTTCATGGTGGTCTAGCTTAAATGGGCTTATGAACTTAATTATTAAATTACTACAATCTACACAAACCCCATTCTGATATTAATTGATTAGTTCATTACCTTGCCCGGAGATAGATTGGATAAATCATGCAATGTTTTTGCCAAGTAAACACGGGGATCAGTAATTGAAGCATATAAATCCGGTAACTTTTGAATTGCAAATGTCAACTGAGAGTAAGCTGACTGACCAGCTGTAAAAAAGTAAACAAACACAATAAATCATAGAAAAGTATAAAGTCGACTAGTTACTTTCTAACCATTAAACCGACGATAAACGGAGATTACAAAAAAAAAAAATAAATGTAAAGGAGATAGGATGTATGTCCGTGAATTTGTAACGCAACAACTCTTCATTGTTAAGTGTGTGTGTGTGTGTGTGTGCAACACATATCATTTTCCCTGCTCATTTACGGAATGAACACTATAAGAGTACACATTTCACTAGGGGTTTCATTTCAAGCTCTAACTTTGATTACATTTGCCTTTTTCATCTGACAAGTAGGGATTCAGCTACAATGTTACGTTCAAAAAAGACATATATAGATGAAAATTACAGTTTTATATGCAGTACTGATACACTTTTAACACGGCAATAAATTGCCTATATCTTTGTATACATATTATGTATATATCTTCTACATGTATAAATGGCAATGACTGATTGCATATGACAATTCTAAGTGCTTACTTTTCTTAGTCGCTTAAAATGTTCGATGACCTATTCGAATTCGGATATATATATCTGCTTGTTAAACTACATTAATCAATCGGTCTCTTTCATTGTGTTTTTGCTGATCGTTCGATTTATACTGCGGATTACATAAACTGTCATTACGACTTCATTTCGCCTTCTGGATATTTGCACGCCGTTAGGTCAGTTAATACAAGAAGTAAAGGAAAGGTTTGAAATGATGCTTCAACAAGTGTCCAACAGTATGGCGTTTATTTCATAGTACACTTAAGGCGTAGAGTACTCTAACGAAAAACTGTTAAATTAAAACGAATTGCTGTAGTCATTCACCTTTAACGGTGAACTATTGGAAGATCTATGGAGAACTGAAGAAACTTACACCACTCACATTATTGTTTTATAATGTAGTGTAATAGTGTGAGTACATAAGATTACTATATGAGATGGCATAAATGAAGCAACACCCACATATAAAACTCACAAGGATCTGAGTCTATTTCAATGAAACGTTCATCTTTTTGAAAACCATCTACCATAGAATTCATTGCCATCGATACAGCCAAATCGCTCGCAGAATCACCACCACGTCCTGGACCACTAGCCAAACCGGCAATAATTTTTATTAATAAAGGAAGCCATGATTCACGATAAGTAGAACCACTGGTAAGTAAAGCTTGTGCTTCACCAATAAATCGGATTAATCCAATACTATTCATACGCCATTCTGTACAGACAGAAGTAGATGGTAGACTAGATACTTCAGCACTTTCTGAAATCGAACAAATAAATACACAAGGAGAGAGAGAAGTGAATTTATTTCTTTTTATTATGATGTCTGGTTATGAAACTGAGAGAAAGTATAACATCTAACTTACATAAACTATTTCATTAAATGTATATCAACCATTCGAATACAATTCATTTATATTGGTTGTATCAATCTTCAATTACAGTCTTAAACACCAATAAGGAAGATTCAAGCAACCAATACAAGATGAATTAAGCTTCACCACATTGCACAATTCAATGGCTATCCGCAATCAGTAGCTACGGGAATAACAAGATGGCGTTCAAAGCTAAAAGTAGTGAGTTCGGGTCATGGAGTGAACATCAACTCTGAGATGCAGGTACATCCATCTGACGAGTCCCAAATAGAACGAAACACAAGTTCTATATTCTACTACTGCAACAATCCATCTCTGCTGATAACCTAAGTACAAGTTTAAGAGTGGCTAAAATCTTGAAGCATTAAACGGAATCATGAGCTATGACTACCTCCAATTTTTCTTTAAGGTTATATTATGCCAAAAAAGTTGGAGAGACAGTGGTAAGATCAAGAAAACAGCATATGTAAGATGTGAACAACAGTTATCTATAATAATACAACGTGCCAAATTGAAGAAATCTCAGTCAATCTCAAATGCGTAAACGTATTTGCCAGTTATATACATATCAAGTTGAAGTATGTCGATTGATAAGAATACCATGAGAGAAGAGTAACGAACAATTGATGATCCGTTAAGATGCAAAAAACCATATTCTTCGTAAACACAACACAAAGGAGAAAAAGAAAGAAAGAAAAACAGTCTTACTTGCAAAACCACTAGTTGAAATCAATGGTGTGGCGATAATAATTTCAGCATATGGAATAAGAACTTTTTCTAGTACACGAGCAAATAGATTCGATTGAATACTATCAACAAGTGTAATCAATTCATTCGGTGAATAGATTAATACCATATGAGCAATGAATGATGCAAAAGCTATAAATAAAACAAAATGAAATTTGAGTAAAATCGATATCCTTTTATGTTTCAGGTAATAAAAGTGTAGTAATATTTCGGTGATTGTTACTTATACTGATAGATATAAATAGTATGCAGCACTAAACGGAAGTCGAATGACTGCCAAAGAAAGATTGAATTGAAGTGATAAAATGAAGGGGAACAGAGAGAGTGATTGGACAATTCAAGGAAGATGTGCAAATGATGTATGCAACATATGGTTTTCATAATTTACGAAGACACTCTGTAATTTAGCTGTAAATAATAATTTGCTTTTTTCCCTACCTGAGTTTTCATTCACTACAGAATTAGTAGTAGTAGTAGTAGTAGTAGCATGAAGATCAGACAGAAGTAATAATCATCAAAATTTATTTATTTGTATTTAACTAATAGTAGTATCAACGAAAGTAAACAGTAGAGTTAAGAACAAATACAAAATGAAATCATGTAAACATTTATAGATTCTATGGTTGGACACTTAGTCACGAATATTGAATATACTGGATTGAATCCTTAGCAGAGTCATAGATCTGTACTGAAGAGTAATCTCATATCAAGAGTCAGCAGTCCATTTGATTTTTTGATTTTCAATAGTCTTTGATGTAAAGGCCCCCAAATGCCCTGGTACGGCCGAAAGTGGGGAAAGTCCGCTCTCCTTCTCGAAATACTCTCATGTGGCCACGTGCATACAACTACTGCCACAAAAGTCCTACTCACTGCATACTCGTGGCATTACTGTCGTTTACGAAAATGAGAGGATGAAAAACGAGTGTCTGACGCTTTGACCGGGTTGGTGGACATGGAGAGTCCACATAGCGGAGTTGGAAAGCCCTCATCCTAAACCAATGGTGCACATGGACTCCAGTATCCTGAAGGTAAAAATGGTGTATGAACCAATCGTCGGTCACCGGCTACCATGGGACTGCATCTCCTTACGATACTCCACTACCTTGTGGATCAGACCATTAGGTCAAAGGCACAAGGTGTGGCCCCTTAAGAAAACCACCTGCTTTGGGGTTTGGCCACCCGGGCAGTATCATAGCCCTCACACAAATCAAATGAGATTTGTGTGGCGCATATATATTTGGTGCCTCCTTGTACCAACATCTATGTGTTAAAATAAATAAATAAATAAAACCTACAAATCAAGATTAAACAGCTGAAAAAAGAATAGATTTTATACAACTGTAGTCGATTCAGAGCTACGTCATTAAAGACTTCACTTAATTATTGGTTAAGATAATTGGGCTGACCTCAAAATAGTGTCCATCATCACTTGATAGCCTTAATTAATGACTATCAAATAAAATCATGTTGTTATACATAGCTTCCTTCCAATTAATTTCCATATGACCTATTATGAGTTGTCGGGTAGTCGATGTAGATTCACAGACTTGATTAATTTAAAAATACCCGTAATTGAATATTACTAACCGAAAAATATGTATTCTATCATTATAGAATATAATACCACCTCTGAATTAACTACTTTTATGAATTCGGTGTTCATCTTGTTGTGTTAATGAGGTATGGCAACTTGGACCGATCCATATATATGTGCCTGGTCCTACATTGTAGCTGATTGACTATCATTATAGACCAAGCAACATGTGTCCATTAACAATACAAAGGTTAAAGAAATGGATAAGAGATAATAATAATAATAATAACAAAAATGGTTTAACAAACCTTTCATAAATTTCTCTCTTTTACATGATTGTAATCGACGAAATATAATCATGAATATTTGACGAAAATAGGTTGGCATTAAAATATCTTTTGGACCAGATAATAGAATAGCATTTAATAAAGCAAATGCATACACATCATTTATAGAAGAATTAACTAATTTTTGAAATACTCCTAGAATCGGTGTAATCTACAGAGATGGCAAACACACACACACACAGAGATGATATCAAGGAGAATGACGAAAAAAACAAAACAAAACAAAATAGATAATCATAAATCAATAATTAACATCTACGATAAATTCATCTCATTGATGGTTATGAATGATACCAAAAAAAAGAATAAATGACAGATAATTATGGCATTAAAATTCCTATAATATTGAATATCATAGTACAATAAATGTTGACAACTTTTCGAAATCTTTGACGAATACTTTGATTGATCGTAAAGAATGAAGTAGCTTAAAGTGTTGACCAATTTACTTCATTAACTGAAATTAATTCGATATGCATAACGTATGCCTAACTACCGTCTACTATGAATACTCGATGTTAGCCATTGTAAGAGTATGTTAGAAGAAATTTGAGAGGAGGTCAAGTACAAAATGTAGCATTAGACTATTGATAGGTGAAGAACATTTGGTTAGTGTTTGTACGATAATCCGTTACCAATGTCATTAAAGAAGTTAGATGAGATAGATTCAAATCAATCACAGGTAGGGCGGCACATAAATCTACTTTTCAATCTTCCATAAATCGAAGGTTTTAGTATTCCTTTCACATACATATACTTTCAATGCTTCCTCTTAAACCATGTCACCAATGTTTGCTACTACAATTATTTCAATTTATTTAATATTCATTTTATGGAATTCATCTTATTCTCAACTCTTAACAAGAATATTGCCCTCAAATGCCCTGGTACGGTCGAGAGTGGGGACACTCCGCACACCCTCTCCAAATGCTTTCACGTGGCCACGTGCATACAACTACTGCCACAAAAGTCCTACTCACTGCATACTCGTGGCATTACTGTCGTTTACGAAATTGAGATGAAAAGCGAATGTCCGGCGCTTTAACCAAGACGGTGGATCCACCTAGGGGAGTTGGAAAACCCTCATCCTAAACCAATGGTGCACATGGACTCCAGTATCCTGAAGGTAAAAATGGTGTACGAACCAATCGTTGGTCACCGGCTACCATGGGACTGCATCTCCTGACGTTGATCCACTGCCTTGTGGATCAGACCTTTAGGTCAAAGGCTTAAGCTGTGGCCCCCTAATAAAACCACCTGCCTCGAGGTTTGGCCACCCGGGAAATATCCCAGTCCTCATATAAATCGTATGATTTATGTGGTGCATGTGTATCTGGTGCCCCCTTGTACCAGTATTTGTGTTCAAATAAATATAAATAGGTAACTAGAATATCTGTTTCAACTATTAGAATAACACTGACCCGATGAAAATTGGGACGTATGAAAATATATTTAGAAGTTAGAACCAGCAATAATTAGCATAATAAATTATTCACAAATCAACAACAATGGTTAGGGAAAAAGACTTCAAATAATAAAATTCATTTACGTTATATAAGCTAGTGGTTAGGGTTAGAGATCTGAAGAGAAAAGTATTGGGATTCGAGACCCCGTAATAAAATTAACACTTTGATGTAGATACATCCAGATGATGAATTCTAAATAGTAATGAAATAAACAGTCTGGAAAACAGAGATGAATGGTGGCGAGCAATAGAATCCAGGACACGCGTTTTGTTCGATTTTAAATTCGTCAGTTGGTTGAACATGAATCCAAGAGTTGATGCTCACCCTGAGACTCGAATCCAGTACCGTTCGCTTCAAACGCCATCACGTTATTCACTTAGCTACTAAGTCCAGCTGACGAATTCCAAATAGGGAGAAACACGCGTCTTGGAATCTACTGTTAACCACTATCTAACATTACTTAACGATGTCTAACGCTTAAAATCTTCTAAAGAGTAAATGTTAGTTCAAAATTGTACAAAAATATCGAATTAACTATCAGAAATATTTTAATTTAATAAGAAGCCAGTTATAGTTTGAAAATAATTCAACAGCAGAGACTGTGACAATCAAGTTTGAATTTGACAGGAATAATCAGTTCAAGACACACTTTATAAAATATAAATCTGAGTACAAAGTGGGTGCTGAAATAAATATGTATTACACGATTAAGTGATGGAATTGTGGAAAGATAAAAAATGAGTATAATGAATAAATGAATAAAGATAACTAAATGGGAGCAGATTGTTTCATAAGATATAGTTCGGCTAACAACATATCCAAGAAAGACTCCTCTTACTTAAGAAAGATCTCATCCTAATTTTATGATGGATAAAAAGCAAAAAATTACGCGAGAACCGTCATCAGTTTCTACTCCCAGCTATATTTGATAACGTCTCAAAATAATGAGTTGCATGCATTATATCTAGGAACCGTAACTAGTACTATAGTTGACAAGCAATTCACGATGTACGATTTGAACTTCGAAGATGACTTGGTTCTTTTATCTCACACATACCATCAAGACTAGTGTAGCAGAAGCCTCTGCGTCAGTAGTCCTCGACATACACAAGGGAAAAACCAAGATCCTCAAATACAACACGGAGAACATTAACCCAGCCACAATTGGTGGAGACTCTCACGTATCTGGACAGTATTATCGATGAACGCAGAGGATCCGATGCAGATGTGAAAACATATGGAACTCAAAACAACTGTCAACTAACATCTAAGTCACAATCTTCAATACGAACGTCAAGACAGTCCTACTACTGAACAGAGCCGAAAATTAGGGAACTATTACAACCACCATTAAAACGGTACAAGTATTCATAAACGATTGTCTACGCAAGATATTCAATATCCGTTGAACGGATACCATCAGCAACGACGTACTGTAGGCGACAACAAACTCCCTTCCACCTGAAGAGGAAATCAGGAAAAGACATTGGAAGTGCATAGGACATACATTAGACTGAATCAGGAGGTATCCGCTAACTTGGAATCATGAAGGGAAACGGAAGAGAGGAAGGCCAAAGGATACAGTGAGTCGGGAATCGGAAGCAGAAATGTAAGGGATGAATAGCAACTGGGAAAGATTATCCAGGACAGAGTTTGATGGAGAATGCTGATAGGCGACCTATGCTCCACCACGAGGGGTAACAGGAGTACGTAAGTTCAGTCAGTCAGTAACAACGTAGAACTTCGTACGTACATACATCAGTTCGAGTTGCCGTACCACATTGGCACAGAGATGCAGTTGTCCATTTAAATCCCGTAGTGGTAGAGGTGGTAAGAGTATAAGCAGTAATCGGAGAGATTAGGGTTTGAAGATGTTATTCAAGGAGTATAATACATTGAAATAAATTTGGAAAATTACATGTATGTCATATGTGATGAGATCAATTAGTCACAATTTAGAACCTGGTACGTGTTTACATTGGTTCAATTCGCCATTATCCCATTAGTACAAAGAAATAAAGTCACACATTCGAACTAGGCTAACATGTACTTCGGTTTGTGAGTAACCAAGTAATACAATTACTTATCATTAACACAAAGAAATTTATGACAGAAAGTTAAATATTAGGAATTTATGCCTTGTAAATGAGTGAATAATGATAATGATAATAGTAAGTGATGAGATAAATAGATTTTAATTTTGCTTACCAAAGAATGAACCTGAATGGATTAAACAAAAGTGAATCATTAAATATTCTCGTGAAAGGAAAAAAAAGGACATTCGGAGAAGAGAGTACAGTTCTAAATCCAAATGTTGACATAAGGATTAAATTTCTTATACATCAATTTTATACTACTTAGAGTTATCTTCAATATCATAATGAAAGATCAGTGATAATTGAGTTAAATTCTGGTTAATGGTAGAATCTCTCTAACAGGATATAGATTTCGCCCTATTTAGAAGTTATCATCATCACCAGAGTGGGTTGGAGAATGCTGGTCGGCGGCTTATGCTCCATTGGGAGTAACAGGCGTAAGTAAGTAAGTAAGTAAGTAATCATCATCGTCATCACCATCAACTGGATGTATATCTCCACATTTTAATGTTATGATGTTCATACACTGAGACTTGGATCCCAGTATCTTTTGTTTAAACAGTGGGGAAAAAACCATATACACAAACATGAAGAATGAAGAAAAAAACTTAGATTTTTAGTGGATAGTACAACATTTGTCTACGATAAAAATTAACAAAATTAGAAACAAAGTAATGAAATAAGTAGTCTGGAAAACAGAGATGGATGGTGGCGAGCAATAGAATCCAGGACACGCGTTTTGTTCGATTTTAAATTCGTCAGTTGGTTGAACCTGCATCCTAGAGTTGATGCTCACCCTGAGACTCGAATCCAGTACCGTTCACGTTGTTCACTTTCGCTAACGAGTCCCGAACAGGACGAAACGTGCGTCCTGGATTCCATCGTTAACCACTATCCATCTCTATTTACAATGCTTGTGATTTAAGATAATATTGAGGCAATCCACACAAAATGTACATATACTAATAAGAGATTGATCAGTTTTAGTAATAAACAAACAGTTAAGATTAACACTAATAAGTATGAGGTAACTAATTAGTAATGTAATACTATCTATGTATGAATTGATAATTAACGTGACTTCAATATGAGAATTTTGTATTTACTACTAAGAGTAACTTGTTTCGACTTATGTACTCCTGAAAGTTCTGATAAGAAATATGAATTGTAGAATAAATCAATAATTAATTAACAAACAATCCTCTATATAATTAATATGGAATTTCAGTTGAAAACTGACAAACTATGTTATTCTTAAGACAAATACCATAACAATAGAAAAGATTAAGTAAAGACTATACGATTCAAGAAGAATGAATGAATGAATGAATTCATAGAACTAACAAAAAATTTCTTTAGCAACTAAAGGGGTAAACAGATAAACTGTGAATATATCCACACTAGTGTAAAACGATTATTCTGAGCCATAATATCCAATGTTTTGAAATTAACTGATCACAATTATCGTATGAAATCCAACTGAATATTATGTTGCATAAACAAAACAGGATTCAGTTTAAGAGTCAATGAATTCATGGATCAATGGTATGTTCTTGTTTAACCGTTCCTAGTTTTATTGCAACTTAATGATATACGAGTAAATATCGCGTGACAACTACCTCAAAAGTGTATATCATCAATTGTTTGTTGTGAATAACTTTAATGAAAATAAGAACAACCCAAGAAATCAAATCAAAAAAACTATTATCATTTACAAATACATCTTATAAGTGAATTACCTTATTAGCTGCTAACACATCATCCATATTATGTAACAGGTAAGCTTGTAACAAACGAACAAGCGATGGAACATTTCTATTTGGTTCCCACAGAGATGGGACAAGGATTCGTTGAAGTAAAGCTGAATAAGCCTGTGAAGGTCGGAAATTACTAGGTGTTCCTGTTGTCATGCCATTGATAACAGGTTGTGGTAATTTACAATTAGTTAGAACAGTTTGAGATAATGGATACTGTTCTAGCATAACACTGATCAATTGAAATACATATGGTACAAATTCTGGAAAAGAGAAATAATAAACAGGAAGGATAAGCAACACATATATTAATGTGAAGTAACCGAAAACAGACACGAAGAAAGTGAAATAGTTGTTACCAATAGGGAATCGGGAGTACTGGACAGCTGTTTTGTCACAGCATGAGACTCCTCATCAGTGCCTACCCATAATTCCACACCCCCGACCGCATTATGATAGTCAGCTGACCAGTAATTTACTTTAAGATATTTTTGGAGTTCACGTGAGAAATCATGACTGATGGAGGTTTATCTATGTCAAGAGTGAAACAGTTGTCACTAACAGCATTCAATAATCATTGAACTATATCATGATCTGATTGAAGTTGAATTTATATATTTGAATACCGACTCAATGATTTTGATACCTAAGTGTTCGCTGTGAGACCTACAAACTCTAGATTCAACCTCTGATTAGTTCATGGGCGCGCATTACTAAAGAGCCCCATACCGGGACGAAATATGTGTTTAGTATCTCATAACTTTTAATCTATGACGGATATAACCTATAAATGGAACCAAACTTCACAAAATCCCTTCAACCAAATTAGCTAGAAAAAGTTAGACGTTAACTTATTTCGATTAATGCAGTTACATTTAATCTGTAAATTTATTTCATCAATGATATACAGTAAACCAAAGACAGATTCATGTGTTTTATGCATTAAGATAAAGCATATGGAAGCTAGTGATAGGCAAATTATCGTAGGGGGATAGGTTGGCAATAATTCAGCATTTTAATGAACTGAGACCTGGTAACATTTGTGTACATTCTCTAGAACATACAATGTATATGATAAATTTAGAAATGAGAATTTTGGATTACAAACAAAATTTGTTATATCCCGGTAAGTATAAGGGATGGTAACTGATGGGATCAATTTATGGTCAAATACTATACATATATTTTTATTGTGTAATTGTTAAGTGTTCCTTTTAGCATAAGCTTTATTTTGACCTATGAACTATTATTATACGGATTTACCATTCTCGAGCTATGCCCTGTCTATTAATTACATTATCCCACAATTACAGACACTTCTGGTTAGATCTTGCACAGATATTATTTTCTATTTTATGGTACGATGTGGTCTGTCTGGTTGATATATAAACCGAGTATGTTTGAAATAAATGATTCATATCGCAGAGGCTGAGATTAGTGTTCTGGACTTAACAGGCAAGGCTAAGCGGGAAGCAGAACCGATAAGACTCTAGACTGCTCGTACGTGTTTTATGCGTCATTAGTCCGGTCGATAAATCACTGTTCTCTAATTGGCGGTATCATTACGCTGTATATTAGCAGGGCACTCAGGCCACAAGCATAAAAAAATTGACAACTTACCAACAACATCTTGTTGTAAAATATCTTGAAAGATTGGAAGGAATGCTGCTTCAAAATGTAACACTAAAGCTGGTTCCGTGGCACAAGTTAAACGAATACATAAACAGATTGTTTCAAATAGGAAATGATTATAATCCGGTTTACATGGGTTCTATAAAATGATGAGAAAACAACAACAGAAATTCAACAAAACGACAAATAATACTAACCATAATAATGATAACGATGATGGTAAAGATAAAACGTATAGATTGATAAGAACAAAAAGAAAGGTTTACATATTGTTAACGGGACATAGATTGGATTAAAGCATGCTCAATACACGATTGCGTTGTTGTACGCTGATTGGCTAATCCTTATCTAACCAGCGCTAGTCAATACTTGGAGAACACTCTAAAATCATCTCATGTGAAGGTTATAAATATAATAACGTTTTTCCTATTGTGCTTCTTACTTCCATCTAACATTGTTATTTAGAATATAATCTCTTTACTGTTCAACCGTGTTCTGATTTAGGGACTTGTCTAGTGAATTGGTGTCCAAGAATAGTAAGCAATAGGAATAGCTGGATTGTAATAAGAGAGAATTATAACATATATAATTAGGATGAAAAACTATCTTGTTAAACAAACCTTTGCAACTTGAGTAAGACGAGATAATAAAGTGGATACAAGTGATGTCATTGACGGTAGACAACGTTCTTGTAAACAGCAACAAACCCGCATTAAGGCTATAAAGAAAATAAACGAGAGAGAGAATAGGATAAAAAATTCTAAAGAAAATAACAAATATGTAATTTATATTAACTTATTATCAGTCAGTCAGTGACAACGTAGAACTTCGTACGTACGTACATCAGTTCGAGTTGCCATACCATATTAGCACAGAGATGCAGTTGTCGATTCAAATCCCGTAGTGGTAGAGGTAGTAAAAGTATAAACAGTAATCGGAGAGATTAGGGTTTGAAGATGTTACTCAAGGAGTATAATCCAGTGAAATAAGTTTGTAAAGAGAAAAAAAGAGACAAGGAGGATTCAGGAGAACACAAAGAGTGGATGCACCTTCGCCACTGCAAACGATTTTGAGCCATGTCATTCAGGGTCTCTAACCATCGATTGTTATCATCTCATTAAGTTATTATACATAAATAAATAAATTTCAACACTTTACAAATGATTATGATCGATCCTTAACAGTCATATATAGTAATTACAGCCAAATTAAATAATTGATAGTTGTCGAGTATATATACAATAAGTTAGCAACAATGCAAGCATGTTCGGGATGCGATTCTCTCCCTCGAAATGCAAAGTGTTGCTTCAGGATTGGGTTGCATCGACACCCGAACTAGTGATAGAGAGTGAAGTAGTTGAGTGTTTCGACCGCTTCACTTATCTTGGAAGTCTCGTCAGCCCTTGTGGTCTGGTGTGTGACGAAATCTCAGCACGGATACAAAAGGCTCGACTAGCTTTTGCCAACTTGCGTCATTTATGGCGTAGGCGAGATATCCGTCTACCAACCAAAGGACGCGTTTACTGCGCAGCAGTTCGTCCCGTCCTACTTTATGGCAGTGAAACATGACCGGTAAGAGTAGAGGATATTCGTAGGTTACGAGTGTTTGATCATAGGTGTCTTCGAACACATTCCTCGTATATCATGGGACCATCGAGTAAGTAACACAATTGTTAGGAAACGGGTACTAGGTAAGGATGGCAAATCAATTGATGAAGTAGTGAAACTTCATCAGTTGAGATGGCTGGGACACGTGTTACGTATGCCCAACCACCGACTGCCTCGACGTGCGATGTTCAGTGCTATGGGAGTAGATTGGAAGAAAGCTAGGGGCGGCCAGACCAAAACATGGCACAAGTCCATGAAGTCACTGACAAGTGGACTGAGTCATGTTGGTAGGTGTAGACTACCTGGTTGGGGACCACGAGATGATAGCAACCGATGGTTAGAGACCCTGAATGACATGGCTCAAAATCGTTTGCAGTGGCGAAGGTGCATCCACTCTTTGTGTTCTCCTGAATCCTCCTTGTCTCTTTTTTTCTCTTTACAAACTTATTTCACTGGATTATACTCCTTGAGTAACATCTTCAAACCCTAATCTCTCCGATTACTGCTTATACTCTTGCTACCTCTACCACTACGGGATTTGAATCGACAACTGCATCTCTGTGCTAAGGTGGTGTGGCAACTCGAACTGATGTACGAACGTACGAAGTTCTACGTTGTTACTGACTGACTGACTGATACAATAAGTTGATGGATGGCTTTGACTTCAGTACAAGGGGTAACAGACCTAGGTAAGTGTGTTGATAGATTAAACGTTTAACAAAGTTATGTTATTGATTTAATTATCATATTGTATAAGATACAATTGTCAACCTCACTTACCTCGTATTACATAAACATTTTCACCATATTCAGGATTATTCAAAATATTCAATAATCTATCAATTAATAATTGAGGTTCTGATACTTGTTCTTTTGGTATTCTGAAATCAATCATTCATTAAGAATAAATGATGAGATCTGTTAAATATTAGGGATCAACATTATTAATTTGGAATTTAATGCAACTAATCAATAAATAATCAAAGTACAAATAAGTTAAGGTGTGTACAAGATAATGACAACAAAATCAGATTAAATAGTTCAGTGGTAACATCTAAGTAGTGTGGATTCAAATCACACACGGAGTATCAACTTCCTCAAGGAATAAACTAGCATGAGATTAAGGTTTGAGGGGCATCCTGCTGAACACTTTGAATCGCGTTACATCAAGACAAAGTGAATATGATGCCAAGTCCACTGAAGTACTATCCAAATCACAAATTGATTGATAAAACCCTACCACTATTAAAGACTACAGAACAATGGCATTGGCCACTATTCAGTGTTTAAACAGATGTTACTATTCAGAACTACTTCAAGTCAGAGTAGATGCAGTGGAAAGTGAAAGAATTCAGTGACTTAGTCACTGAATCACCAGGTTTTACAATCGTACAAAACTATTCAAATGATTATGTGCCATTAGGTTATTAATAATAAAAATGTTTCCTTCTCCAAAGGAAAGTTTTCACACTGATCATATCACAGTTTCATTGGATTTAGGTGAATATAACTAACCTTGGACAAGAAATTTATTTCTTTAAGATTACACAAGAAACAATGACGACAGTTATAACAAAAACCAGGAAGAAAACCCAGAAATAGTTGTTTAGTTACCATGGGTCTTGTAGTAGTGGTAGCAGGTCGAATAGTACAATCAAAAATATTGATAACTGTATGAATCTCATCTCTGCCTTATCAAAGTCACTATGATATATCAATGATAAAAATAGTAAACTTACACAGGATCTGTAGGTGAATCTAATCGTCGCATAGCCAATAATTTATCAATTAATGAAGCTACATAACTTTGTACAACCGGTGCTGAAGCAGTAAGTAACACTGGAGTCATATTCAATAGATTGATTAAGGCCACAGATGGAAGTAGTGAACGAAATGCAATAGCATAACGTAAACAATCCGCTTTGATCACAGGCAAATAATTAACTATAATACACAAGAAAGCAAGTGAAGAGTAGTGAATTGTTCATGACAACATACTAGGGTAAAGTAAATGAATAAGTTAAAAGGATAGACTTCTGAATCAGATCCAAGAATAAGTTAATTGATTCATACCCAACCGATTAGCGCAGGCTGACGTATATTACGATGGAAACTTGAATGTTCTTAGCAGCTCAGATTTATTACAATACAAGAGAAGTACATAATAGAATCGAATAGATTTTTTATAACATTACAGTAAGAATATAGAACACACCTACTGGCACAAAGGGGCATCAGATATATATGTGCCACACAAGTCACTTGTGTGTGGGTTGTAATACTGCCCGGATGCCTAAACCAAAGCAGGTGGTTTTCTTATGGGGTCACACCCAGAGCCTTCGACTTAAAGGTCGAAACCACAAGGCAGTGGATCAACGTCAGGAAATGCAGTCATATGGTAGCCGGTGACCAACGACTGGTTCATACACGCCATTTGCTCCTTCAGGATACTGGAGTCCATGTGCACAATTGGTTTGGAATCAGGGTTTTCCAACTCCCCTAGATGAACTCTCCGTGTTTACCATCCTCGTTAAAGCGCCGGACATTCGCTTCTCGTCCTCTCAATTTTCATACACAACAGTAATGACGCGAGAAAGCAGTGAGTAAGACTTCCCTAGCAGTATCTGTATACGCGTGGCCATTGGAGAGCATTTCGAGAGGGAGAGTTGACTCTCCCAATTCTCGGCCGTACCAGGGCAACTTATAACTATTTATTTATTTAAACACATAAACACTGGTACAAGGAGGCACCAAATAGATATGCGCCACATATATCATTTGATATGTGTGAGGGCTGGAATACTGCCCGGGTGGCCAAACTGAAACAGGTAGTTTTCACAGAGGACCACACCTCACATATAATTAACTGCAAACAGATTAGTGTAACTGACCAAATTATAACTCGTAGACATTTATGGACATGAGAACTGTACTACTGTGGTGTGAGCTACTTATATTGATATAAGTAGTATATAACGTGCGTTAAAAGAACGTAATGTCTGGCAGCAGAAGATGGCGAAGATCAAGAAAGGAAGAGCAAGAGCACAATGGAATTGTAAGAAAACGCATGTACAATGGAATGGGCGACAATGGATTAGTGTTTGCAACGGGAACAGTACAGTTGGATATGATTGAATGATATTTTGCAAATTGACGATTGACTTTATGGTATTCACATTTTATTGAGATAGTCTGTAATTTTTGTGCTAAATACAATCGATTGTCCCCACCCGTGTTCTTGTTCACTACACTACTATTAACTGGTTAACTTAGAATGAATAATGTAACGGCGACAGCAGCATGTTGGTGGGGATTTACCGCTATTATTCAATAATACAATAACTGAGGTACACAAATACTGTTACGAAATGAAGTTGTCAAGGTGCCTTACAAAAATTAAGCAGTTTTTGTCAAAATAGATTGTGATAATGTATCAAGAAAGAAAGAAAGAAAAGAACGAATACACCAACAAACTTACCATTAGGATTTCGTAATTCAGGTAGAACATGATTTTCAAAAAATGTTGTTAGATTAACTAATTCAGTGGAGACTGTAACACCATGCTAAAGAAGTAGTACAAACATAAATAATCATAATAACAAGAATGAATAATAGGATAAATAATAATAATTTATTAAAATTTCTATTTACACTACTATACATATAAGAAAAACTCCGCCTGTAACTCTTCTCGAGTTACTGCCTGTCCTAAGTCCGGGTAAAGGAGGAGGGTTGGGGATGGGGTTAGTGATCCCATCCTGTAGAAAACTAACCAGAAAAATATATAAGAAAATGAATAACTACAAATGAATAAATAGATTCATTGGATAATGAAAGTAAACTTGGAAATTTCCACAACAAACCATAGATTTAACTTATTTTCATTAAATAAGATGAATATTTATTCATTTATATGTAATTTCAATGGTTAAAATCATGAGTCAGTTGAAGCTTGACCACCATGGGAAACCTGGAAGCACTGGACGGCCGTTTTGTCCTATTGTGGGAATCTTCAGCGGTGGGCATCCACGAACCCAGGGCTTACTGGTTTCGCGCGCGAGCACTTAACCACTAGACCACTGAGCCGGTATCCAATGGTGTTAATGTCTAACTTCAACTAATCATTTATATGTGTGTACTGGGTAAGGTTAACATAATGAATCAAAATAGTAATAATAAGAAAGACTAAGCGCTAAATAATACGATGGGGGAAATAATATTACGGCTGAAAACTTAAAGGAAGATAGAATAAGTGCATATCTGTGTCAGTGTAACCGACTTTGAATCACGTCACCTAACCAGTGATTACAGTTATTATGTAGACGACTCCAAACAGGTAAGCTACATCAACTAAAATGGTTTAAACGAACACTAAATTGTTTTATGGACTGTTATTATATCTTGATTGAGTATTCTTAGTATTCCTTAAATCTAATTTATTATTACACAAAAAGGTAGCCAATAAGTAGGTATACGTAACATAGATCTCAACCAATTTGTCCGATGAAGATTCACCATCTTACGTTTTACGCCTAGTCACAACACTGATTCTTTAATTATGCCATAACACGTGAGCGATGCTTCAAATACACCTATAATCCAAAAGTTGATTCTTATGGATATCTTTTATTTTCATAGGATATGTTCCACAACCATGGAGTAATACAGACTGAGATCGCTCTACAGTATACTCATCTTGTTAGTTAGCAGACAGACATTTCACAAGATAAGAATGATGCGAATTGACAAAAGCTAAATGAGCTTTCTAAGTCAATGTCAAAATGTTGTCAGGCATTATCAACAAACCAGGGCAGATAAAGATTTTTAACGTAATTGAATTGATCAACATGGAAATGATACTTCATTTAATCTGAAATTATTTTAATGATAACTTTTAATGTTTATGTAACTATCATTTAAGTAGAATTCATTTATATTACTACGAATAGTGTAGATGTATTCACGTCTTTTCGTCCTTTTTAAAAACCGAGTCCTGAAGTTGTATTGTACAATTTTTTCCTACTTTTTCAATACTAACTACTACTACTATAGTGAACGAAAACTCAGGGAAGGTAAATTAATTTATTCTTTTACGCTAAATTACACAGTGCATTCGTAAAATATGAAAATCATATATAAAATACATCATTTGTACATTTCTCTTTAGTTGTCGTGGTGTGGGTGTTGTTTACGAAACTGAGAGAACAAAAAGCAAATGTCTGGTGCTTTAACCGGGTCTGTGGACACGGAGAACCCACCTAGGGGAGTTGGAAAACCCTCATCCCAAACCAATGGTGCACATGAACTCCAGTATCCTGAAGGAACAAATGACGTACGAACCAATCGTTGGTCATCGGCTACCATGGGAATGCATCTCCTTACGATGCTCTACTGCCTTGTGGATTAGACGTTTAGGTCGAAGGCTCCAGGTGTGACCTAATAAAACCACCTGCTTTGGTTTAGGCATCTGAGCAGTATCAGAGCCCACACACAAGTGACTTGTGTGGCGCATATGTATTCAGTGCCCCCTTGTACCGGTATTTGTGTTTAAATAAATAAATAAGTTGTCGTTTACGTACTCCATCATTCTTCCGATTTTGTCGTTACTCGGACTGCTCTCTGTTTTCTTTATTTCAATCTTCTGCTGGTAAGCACTCCATTCTTGCTGCATACTACCTATATTTGTCCACATAGGAGGCGCATAATACACAATTACTAATACTCTAGGACTTGTCTTGAAATAATTTTATCTCACTGTGGTAACGTGTTATGATAACTTGAACCGATACACTTAAGTGTTAGGTTCTACGTTGCGTACGACTATTTGGCCAATGTAATACTGAGCGATCAGCGTAAACAGTGAAGGATTTGGTGTTTGTTCTAACGAAGTAAATAACTAAAAAATGATAACTCCTAAGACTATTATAATATATACTCTTATTTCATAATTATTAAATAATTGGACTATGATGTTTCTATGTTCCGTTGATTGTAAACTTTCGTTTGACCCGTTTACTATTCCTATAAGTCATATTATTTCTAGTTTAATGTTAATTCAACTTGCCCAGTTTCACCGCCCGTTTTGGCCTATTTATGTACAACTATGATTTTCTATTTTATGAGATGATATAGTCCAGTGTACTATATATGTAAACCCGTGACTATTCAAGATAGGTACTGAGCTTGGTTACGGTATCCACTTCGGACTCAAGATTGGGAATAGAAGATACTGTGTATTAGTGAACCAATAAGAGTGAAGCTTATTTCAACTTAAGTTCAGTTTAGTTGTGTGTGTCAGAGAGTATCAATGGTCAAGGTTAAGGACGCTAGGATGTAGATCGAATAGCAGACTCGGAATAGAAAAGAACTATAATCGGAATTCTGATTAGTGAACTTAGAAGGTGATAACGATTAGCACCTCAAGGCATCAATAATATCAATGCCTATCATTAAAAGTAGACATATTTCATATTATCACAATCAGATTGAAAAATTAATAAGGTGTAAAAAGTGAAAAGTAGTAGAAATAACAACAATGGAAAATTAAGGACATATGGCATCTAATTTGAAGAATAACAACAACTGATGAAGTAATATTACAACTTAAGTGATTTCATCGGAGATAAGGAATAAATTAGTTTACATTAGTAATACAATCGAATGAGATACGTCACCTCGGGTTTCAAACTAGAGATCAGTATTATTTTGCTCATAAAAGTAACCAGAATAACTGAGAACCTGTCAATACAACTCAGTTCAACACTTAAAATGATTTTTATCAATCGATGTGATATTACCTATTTGGTTGTGTCGGGGTGATCTAGAAAACTTCTCGCAAAAGACAAGAAAGGCTCAGGAAACATTAAGAAGCATTTCATTCAATCATCGTTCACATGAAGTTTTAGCCAGGAAAATCAAGAAAGTAAAGAGTCGCATGTAGAGATTCTGATTGACTGATTACTATACTGCTACTATGTTTAGTAGCGTTCCAGAATTTTCAGGAAACCCAAGGACATCGAAAATATTATAAAAACCCTATATTTTCTGTACTAAAACGAACCTTTTGAGTAAAATGCTTCTCGCATATTCTGCGCCTTTTCTCTCGTGTTCAGGTCGCTGTGTAGTTCTAGCTTGGGGGTTACGAGAATAGCGCATATATATTGGCGCTCTCTTGTACCAATATTTATGTGTTCAAATAAATAAATAACGAGAATAGCTTAAGAACTGAATATAGTGTTCAATTGGCAAGACTTATCAGGTTGTCACTGGTTATTTTTTAAATCTCTCATCCGGCTATTATCTATTAGGTAGATAATGGATAGGCATGCATGTGTGTGTCCGATATACCATAACTGGCTTTAACAATTAAGATTTACAGCTTTAGTAGCCAACTCCGCCTGGAGCCCCTCTGGGGATACTGTCGGTCCCAAGCCCGGATAAAGGAGGAGGGTTGAGCATGTGGTTAGCAACTCCGTCCCGTAGAAAACTAACTCGACAAAAAACAATTCAAACCATTTAAACACTGTCCTGGGAGTTAGAAAGTCTTCATTTAGAAGAGCTATGATGCCTCATGGTGAAAGCCGAGTTCATTCGGAAGTCACGAGACTGATGCCCCTCCTAACAACCAGAGCAACCATTAATTCAAGTACATGGAATGCTCGTACCATGTGAGAGACCGGAAGAGTCTTCCAAATTACTGCAGGATAGAAGAGATACAACCGGGAGGTGCTTGCAATCAGTGAAACACATTGGTCAGAATTTTCAATACAAATGTCAAGACAGTTCTACTGTATGAAGCGGAAACCTGCAGAACTACGAAAGCCATCACCCAGAACATACAAGTGTTTATTAACAGTTGTCTTTGCAAAATACTTAGGTTCTGTTGGCCAGGCACTATCAGCAACACCCTACTGTGGGAGAGAACAAACCAGATCTCAGCGGAGAAAGAAATCAGGAAGAAGCGCTGGAAGTGGATAGGACGCACATTGAGGAAAGCACCCAACTGAGACACAAGCCAAGCCCTCATATGGAATCCTGAAGGTCAAAGAATACATTACATCGAGAAATGGAGACAGACATGAGAGGAATGAACAACAATTGGATAGAACTAGGAAGGAAGGCCCAAGACAGAGTGGGTTGGAGAATGTTGGTCGACGGCCTATGTTCCATTAGGAGTAACAGACGTAAGTAAGCTTTATTAGCCATTGTTATTTTATAATCTAAAATACTGCTTATTCAATTATTTTGGTAGTCATCACTGACAAAATATCAAAAGTTTATGGAATTCCTTTAACCTTCAAAAACTCGATCATATTTTCACTAAGATTGATCATGTATAGAACATTTTAAAATCTTCAGGTGAAACAGATGAAGTTAATAGGTACTTGGTAAGTGATAACGAGTGAGAAATTTATGAAGATAATAAATTAATTATTTCATTCAATTACATTTTTTAAAAACAAATAATCATACCTTTTCTGTTTTACCACGACTAGCAACTGAAGTGACCAATAGTAAAGCTGCATCTTTTGAAGTCCATGCTCCACCATTTGGTGTATTTGTATATTCATTTAATAAATGTTCAATATATGTAGCGAAATTTGTTACAACAGCACCTTCAAACGCTTCACATAATACATGAACTAGATTACATGCTGCTCTTCGACGTGTTTGTGCATTAGAACCTTCTAAATCTAAGCGAATATATTCATCAGGATTTTCAGTGAATAATTCTTCGTCTAATGCTTTAAAAGAATAAAATTGTCATACAATGGATTAAATTTTAACTTAATAGATTAGATTGTCTAGTTATAATAATTGTAAGTAAAACAAGTATAATCAATATAGTTCAGTGATGGTTCAACTTTCCACTAATAGATCTCACATTAGAATCCTGTTCAGTCTACCTTGATTTGAACAATCGGATAGTGTATCACTAGCTTTTACACATCACCAGTATCGATTAAAGTAAAGTATACAAGTCCGAACCTGGTTGCTGAGTTAACATTATAATACTAGTGAAACAAGACTGGAGGATAGAGAGGATTAGCTTGGACTGACTGAAGTCCCAATTTCCTCCACAACAACTCAAGATTGTTTGTCACATACAGCAAAGCAAATGACGGTAGCATTAAATATTCTGGTAAGTATATGTAGTACTATTCACTTTACTAAATGTATGTTTGACTTTTCACATAATCCTAAATTCATTGGCAGCTGCCAGGAAGGTAAATAAATTTTACGTATTCACAGGAAAAAACAACAAGGTATTTTCATGAGAATTTGTGATGAGTCCAGTACATTAAATACTTAAGACAGTGACTTTTCAGTTAGTATCTAACCTAAAAACACTCTTTAGTTCGTTTATATTGAACAGAACAGGTGATAAGAATAAAAATGAAGCATTACTCAGAAGTTTAGTAGAGATCAAAGAGTTTTGAAAACTTCTGAACAAAGAAGATCTTCAAATTAGTAATAACTTGAATGTTTGACTAATCAGAACATGGATCAATTTACAAAATGTACTAAATACTCTGAGTAATGGGAATATATGGGAGAAATCAAAATGATATAAGGGTTTACTTATGAACGGATGATATTTCTAGTTCCGTCTAAGAGAAAGTAAAGGATGTAACATTAAAAAGAGGAACAAATAAATCGTATCTATCAAAGCAAATATAGTGACTGTAATGTTGTATATATACAGGATAGACATGTAGACCATTGAATGGCAGAATGAAGGAATGGACAACAATGTTTAGAACATATTTTGAAATGCTTAGAAAGATTGAGAACAAGTGAGGAACATAAAATTGATTTTGAAGCTTGGATCCTTCAACAATTAATTGTAGACATAGATTAGCACATTCTCTGGGTATCCAACTTTGTGCTAGTGATACTACTCGGCTGGTGAAACCAGAGTGGGGGTAATGGAGTTCGGTTCTGTGACTTAGTAACTGAAAATCGAATCCCTTTGCCGTTTCACACTATGGCTGTCGAAAACAATAACGTACGCTAAATTACTTAGTTACGACTGAATGTCATTTGACTCCCCTTCGTTGACATAACAATACGCAGACATACAGTTATCGGTTTATTTTTCTCCAACAAACACAATTTATTGTTGTCCACTATCAAAATCTGATGACATCCAGAATGAACATTATGATCTCGATCAAAGCTTTGAAGTTACAGATATGATTGCCAGATAAGAGTAAAATACATACACGCACACAATATATCACTTTGTCTGGTATAATTCGAACATATCTCATATTAAATGACCATAGAAAGCCGAATGAAACAATTTTATTTTAATGACCTTATTTATCTTTGATCATTTTGAAGCATGGAAAACAAATGTAAGATTTTCAGACACAAGTTATTAATTAATTTAAACAGATAAATGCGCCACACAAATCTCATTTGATATTTGTGAGGGCTGTGATATTGCCCGGGTGCCCAAACGCTGAAGAAGGTGGTTTTATTAGGGGGCCACACCCAGAGCCTTTGACCTAAAGGTCTAATCCACAAGGCAGTGGAGCATCGTAAGGAGATGCAGTCCCATGGCAGCTGGTGACCAACGATTAATTGATACACCATTTGTTTCTTCAGGATACTGAAGCCCATGTGCACCATTGGTTTAGAATCAGGGTTTTCCAACTCCCCTATGTGGACTCTCCATGTCCACCAACCCGGTTAAAGCGTCAGACACTCGTTTTTCGTTCTCTCAATTTCGTAAACAACAGTAATGCCACGAGTAGGCGGTGAGTAGAACACCCCTGGCAGAAGCTATATACGCGAGAGGGTAAGCAGACTTTCCCCACTCATGGCTGTACCAGGGCATTAGAAGGAAGATACATTCTTATTTTGGTATTACTAATATAGGTGACAATACAAATGAGATGGATAAAATCCTATTAGGAATTGATTCAATAAATAAATAAATAAACTATTATTTACCTCTAAAATGCATATTAGGAAGAATAACTTTTTCACAGAGTTTTTGTAATGTTTCAGGATTTTCAAATAAATATCTATGCTGTGGACGAGATATGACACAGCTTAAAAATCCAATTGCATTTCCAATAAGCTAAATTATAAATTTAGGAAGAAATGAAAAAAGAAGCATAAATATTTAACAGAATTTTATATAGGTGTAAAGATTTAGCTCTGAAGTAGACCTTATTTTGTGTGTAAAGGTTAGTCATTTTTACTAACATTATCCAGCTGCACAACTGGAAGTTGTTGGATTAAAAATCTGGGATTTTATTCGTTGGAAGTTAAGTGATTCAATCGACTAGATCACTGTTTCACTCAGAATTATATGTATGCATATAAGTCAGTTAGTTGCAATGTAGAATCTGATGTGTATTTACATTGGTTCAAGTTGTCATACCCAATCAATACACAGGATGAAGTTGTTAGGAGGAATTATGCAGTACGTATATTACCAGTGTCAGTAGTGACAGAATGGACATGGCATCGCAGATTCAAGAAAAGATAAATTAGTGGAATAAAAAACATGAAAAATTATGAGGGATTCTGAAGCTCAGAACTTGGGGGAAGACAAACAATGAATGCATCTGCACTATTCCGAACGGACTTGAACCATGTCATACATTACCACCATTGAAGTAACTACCTCTATAAATTCGGTGTTCATCTTGTTATGCTAATGAGGTATGGTAACTTGGACCGATGCATATATGTGCCTGATCCTACGTTGTAGATGACTGACCCCCGTTGATCAAGATTTACTACCTCACTAACCGATTTGTCATATTTACCTAGTACCCTATTCTTAATCAAGACATTGCTCACCCCGTGATCCCAAAATACACGAGCAATGCTTCGAAGACACCTATAATCAAATATTAGTAACATAAGGACATTTCCGATTATTGATGACCCTGTTTCACTGCTGCGCAGTAAACTTTTCCTTTGGTTTGCAGACAGATATCTCGGCTACGTCACAAGTGACGCGAGTTTATTTATTTATTTATTTATTTATTTGAACACATAAATATTGGTACAAGAGAGCGCCAATATATATGCGCCACACAAAACAATGGGAATTCGAAGAGAAGTAGAAAGAAAAAGAAAAAAAAAAAAAAAAAAACTAAGGAACGCAAAAGAAAAAGAGAGTAATGACGAAGAGGTACAATCAGAAGAAATCTTTCAGGTAAAGGAGACACAACCACTTTTTATGAAGAAAGTAAAAGAAGGTTACAGCAGGATCGCCACTGGCTTCTATTCTGAGCCATATCTGATAACGTCTCTAGCCACTGTGTTGCACCATCTCTCGGACCCCAGCCAGGGAGTCGTGAAGGACCAACACAAGCCAGTCCTTTGCAGCTTTCTTTCATACCACGACACCATGTCATGCACTGACCACCTCTCCGCTTCTTCCAACCAGTCCCAGAGTCGGCAAATAATGCACGACGTGGAATTCTCTGGGACGACATTCGGAGAACATGTCCAAGCCACCGAAGTCGGTGTTTCAAGATGGTGACACCAATTGAGTTATCATCTCTGTGCCCGAACACACGATGCCGAACCTCTGCATTACTAACATGGTGTTGCCACTGAATGTCAGCAATCCTTCGGAGACAGCGATGATCAAACACAGAGAGTCGTCTAACGTCCTCAACTCGGAGAGGCCAGGTTTCACAAGCATAGAGCAAAACTGCTCTCACCGACGCGTTGTAGATCCGGCCTTTTACAGCCAGACTGACATCACGAAGGCGCCAAAGGTGGCCCAGATTGGCATAAGCCGCTCTGGCTTTCACTATTCGTGCATTGATCTCATCACTCACACCCCCACCAGCACTTATGCAGCTACCCAGATACACGAACTTCTCAACTACGTCTATCTGCTCACCATCCAGGGTGAGTACAGGATTGGGATCCTGCCAGTCTTGTAGAAGTACTTTGCACTTCGAAGGTGCAAAGCACATACCATACCTACGGACATTGATTGCCAACTGATTAAGTGCGGATTGCATGCCTTGGGCATTATCGCACAGTAAGACAATATCGTCCGCATACTCAAGGTCGAGAAGTCTTTCTCCAGGCAACAGATCCACACCACCATTACTTACATTCATCAGAGCTGTTTCCAGAATGTCATCGATGGCAAAGTTGAAGAGGAATGGTGAGATTGGGCAACCCTGCCTAACCCCACTGCTCGAATGGAACAATGGAGAGAGGTGGTTGTATGCCCTCACTCTGCCTGAGGTGTTTTTATACAGGGCTTTTAGGATGTTAATAAACTTCTCAGGCACACCCTTCTTCAATAGACAATCCCAGAGAACAGTCCTATCCAACGAATCGAAGGCAGCCCTGATGTCAAGAAACACAACGATTGTTGGCCTTTGAAAAGTATGGCGGTGTTCTAACATTTGGCGGAGGGTGAAGATATGATCAATACATCCTCGACCAGAACGAAACCCAGCCTGCTCCTCGCGAGTCAATCTTTCTCGGGTTTTGAACAACCTACGAAGAATGACGGAAGCCAATAGCTTGGACGCAATCGGAAGTAAACTTATCCCCCGATAGTTGTTACAAGAACGACGTGAACCCTTTTTAAAGATAGGGACAACTATCGACTCATTCCATGACGTTGGTACACTCTCTAGATCCCAAACCTTTGTAAACAACGTCGTCAATTCCTTAGTCAAAAAGTCACCACCATCTTTAAAAAGAGCCGGAGGTAAGTCATCTGGGCCAGGTGATTTGTAACGCTTCAAGAGTTGGAGTTCCTTGCGGACTTCCTCCTCATTTGGTGGATCAGTCGTCACCGGCCATGGAGGGCAGGACAGTCTGACCGATGTTACCGGAGCAGCAGGCCAGTTGAACTGCCCTTCGAAAAATTCTGCCCATCGTCCAAGACGTCGATGGATGTTAGTGATTGGCATCCCATCATCCTCGCAGATTGTTTCACTCACACCAGACTTCTTGCTGCCAGTGGCTCGGATGAGTTGGAAGAGCTTCCGGTAGTTACCAGATGCAGCTGCTGCTTCCAGCTCATTAGCACGCATCGACCACCAGGCTTCTCGGTCCTTACGCAAGCTTTGCCCGATTTCCTTACGTAAAAACCTTCGTTTATGGTCAAACTCACGGTTACCCGGAGTAGACCGACGGGCTTCAATGAGTTGTAAGGAACCAGAAGAAACCCAGTGCTTAAAAGCGGGACGTTTCGCAAACCCACAACTGACTGTACCCGCCATTTTCATGGCGTCATGCAATTGCAACCAATGCTCATCTATACTTTTCGGTGGAGTGGTAGCTAGCCTAGAGGCTAGCTCGGTTCGATACTTACTTGCAACAGAAGTTGCAACCAGCTTGCTAACATCAATCTTTTGGTGGTGGTCACTTCGTTGGCCACTGAAAAGTAAGGCAAGATTGGCGCAGACCAAGGCGTGGTCAGAGTCCAGATAGGTACTCCAAAAGGAGCGGCAGTCTTGTACACAACCACGCGAGTTGGCAAAAGCCAATCGAGCTTTGCAAATCTGTGACAAGATTTTCAGACCGTAGACCTTTAGGACTGATGAGACTCCCAAGATAAGTGAAGTGGTCGATACACTCAACTAATTCATTTTACAAGATATGCTTTAGGTGAAGCAAACACTCATCAAAAGACCTGATGAATCCAGAAATTGAGAAATTTTGTGATAAGTAATTTTTAATGACCAACTAACTGTCACACAATGTTTTCGACTCGATCTTGTAACATCGATTGATTCCGCTTCAATCAAATTGGTAATGATAAGATAACAATGAAATACCTATTCTATGATAGATAAGAGGTTGACAAAACTATTAAGATCCTAACAAAGTATAGTGTAACACAATACCATAATTGTTAAACGAATTTACGCCCGAAGAAGATAAGATTACTGATCGTCTGAAAGAGAGTTTTGTAATATTCCCCAAAAGGCAGTCATACTACTCAACAAACCATTAATAAGTAATTGATAAATGATCTTAGAGAGTAGAGAACAAATGCTTTAATCACTAATGATCCATGCAGCATTGTAACCTCATTAGCATATTACAAAATAAAATAATAATAATAATACTTACCAAGTCATATTTTGTTTGAGCACTAGTACCTAATAACATTTCCCATACATCAGTAACAAAACCAGGAAGATATGAAGCAAATTCTGGTTCATATTTTGATGCATATAAACTGGCATTATCACAAATTTGTGATTTAATTTGTTCAACTAAAACTGTAGCATTATTATTTTCATTTATTCCATTGGTTAAATTTAAAGTTGATGCATTTAATTGTAATAAACTACGAAAAAATGTCATCCAATCTTGCATATTATCTTCGAAAAATTCTGGCAAATCCTGAAAAATGTTAGAAATAAGAAGATTGTAAGAGAGAGAATATAAATGGGGACTAGACAGAAACACATAAGATGTGATAGTCAAACTTATTACGATTACATAAATTAACTTCCACACATTGGGAATAAACGATGATAGATTGAAACCTCTGTCCACTTTTCATTTATTCATGGCTTATGAAGGTTTTGGGATATGGATAGGTATTAGACCACAGATATCCTCAAAGTATACTGATGTATGAAGACATTAGATAAGATTATGAGTAGGATTTCCGATAGAAATCTCAAATCTATTGATCAAGCCAAGTAGACGTTCATCAATTTAGGTGGTTTAAACACATTTAACTACAATCCACTAGGACACGCGATGGTGGCTGGTGTACCAGTAGGTTGGGGAAAGTACAACAAGGATAACCTCATGATAAAAATATTATTTAGACTTCATTGTCTTTCCTTTTTTCAAATTTATCTCTTGGTACGTTAAAGTAAAGTGTGAGACTGATGTGGATTGATATCAAGTTTTTTGCTAACCATGCGTGACTGGTTATACGCTTTCGTATTATCGTCGAACGTAACAGGGTATGGAACCTTATAACGGGCCTATTATATCTTGGAACCGCAGACTATTGTCATATACCAAGCTACCAATCAAAATGCTAACCTTAATTTGGTTTATTTTACGTCTACTATTTACTCGAGAGAAGTAGTAACCAGACTCTACGATAGTTACATTTCAAACAGAAGTGGTTTATATACGGAAATAAAAGATCGCGCCACACAGTAAGATGGAAATTAATAATTATACATAAGCAAGCCAAAAGTATGGGTGGGTGGGGAAAGCTGTAAATAATCGACCGACAAAAGATTGTCACTTACTTGACAATTAAGACTGAGAAATATTTTACAGACTAGTAGTAAAGATTGAAGAACTGTAGTTAAACGTGAGGCATCTGAGATCCGATTCGCTCCAATAACCAAGGCAAGGAGATTCTGTTTGTATATTGTAGTTAAAAGAATCACAAAATTAAAATTAATTAACAACATTTATATACAACAGAAGTTAGGGGTAACTGCGGAAATAACTTCTACATTTTCTCAAACAATACGACTAGGCTCATTGGTATTCATTGTTTGAATCTTCTCATTAACGTTTAAGTAGTTAGGTGGATAACGCGTTAGCGTTTGAAGTGAACAATACTAGCCTCGAGACCTGGAGTAGATACTAAATCTGGGATGCAGGTATACTCAACTGACAAGTCCCAAATGGAACGAAGTGGGAGTCCTGAATTCCACTGCTAGCCGCCATCTATCTCTGACTATAATACGACTGTTAGTGATGTAGACAAAAAAGACCCTACTTATTTAGTACATACTGTTGACAAATCCAGTTACTGACATCAGGGATATAGAAAAGTCGGATACAAGTGTCTCCGATGTTTACATTTCATGCGTTCATTTCAACAGACAGAAATAAAAGGCGAAGGCATACGTCTACAAGTCTACTCAAAATACTAAGTATTACATGCGTAAATATAAATGAAAATAGATTATGTATAATGAGGCAAGGAAACCGGCATTGGATGAAAAAATAGATATAAAGACACACAAGTAAACATGAGATGCATAAGTGTAGAATTATAAAGGCATGAATGTAAGAGGGATATGTGCTGAAGGTTGTGACTTCTCATACAATAGTTTCCACGAAGGTAAAATGACTTAATACATAAACACTGGCTGAGTTACTCGAGTCCATCTTATAAATCATGTGTGTAATAGTATTAAATACTAAATGATTACATAGACTAACAACTAAAATATAGATTCATCATTTGTATCTATCTAACCTGAGTTCACATAAATTAATATAGACTAAAAATTTATATAGCATAGATGAAGGTGGCTAGCAAAGGAATCTAGGACGCGAGTTCTGTCCAATGCCAGACCAATCAGTAGGATTTTCCTTCATCCCAGAGGTGATGTTAACCCCAAGTTCCAAATCTGGGGCCCAGGTAATATACTTGACCAGTCCTAAATAGGACGAAACCCCGGTTGCGTATTCCGCTGCTAACCACATTTCATCTATTCTATATAAGCTTGGACAGGATGCACACATCTCAACTAAGACCAATCAAACCAATTAAAATATCAACGGCGGGATTATCCGAATCATTACAAATCGAATTAATATATTAGAACTTTTTAAACAATTTTCAATAATTAGTTCATTACAGAAATCAAATCCAACTACGTTCATTGCTTTAAACTTCATTTTACTCAAATGTTGCATATTTTATTTAATTGATAAAACTATTCACCAGGTACTGGGACATGGGCCATACTCCAATTGTGAGGGTTGCTCAAATCGAAGTGGAGGAGTTCAAATCCGCGATTTATTGGCCAAAAAGGAATGCTTTGCTTACTAAGCTGATAGAAAGCATCATGGATTATGTGATAATCAACTACAAGTACCATCACCATGATTATTATTTATAGTACTTGTTGCTGTGGGAATTCAAAAATCATACAACCTGCGGTTGTAATTATACGAGTCATTTGATAAGTTGAGATTTATATGACCTTGGTGACGAGAAGCCGCTTAGGCGAGACTATAATTTATTGACGGACTAATACGATTTAAGATGAGTCTTGTATTTTGGTACGAAGTTCATTCATTCATATGGTCCAATAGCATTTTGTCATTATAACTGATGTCAGCTCGTGATGAGAACTCAAACTTTGACTTCCCTCAAATGCCCTGATACGACAGAGGGTGAGGAAAGTCAGCTCCCCTTCTCCAAATGCTCTCACATGGCCATGAGTATACAGGTACTGCTGGGGTAATCCTACTCACTGCATTTTCGTGGCATCACTGTTCTTTACGGAATTGAGAGGACGAAAAGCAAGTGTCCGGAGCTTTGACCTGGTTGATGAACACGGATGCTTCACCTAGGAGAGTTGGGAAACCCTGATTCTAAACCAATGGTGCATATGGGCTCCAGGATCCTGAAGAAATAAATGGTGTATGAACCAATCGTTGGTCGCCAGCTAACATGAGACTGCATCTCCTTACGATGCTCTACTGCCTTGTGGATTAGACCTTTAGGTCGAAGGCTCTGGATGTGGCCCCCTAATAAAACCACCTGCTTTGGTTTAGGCACCTGAGCAGTATCAGAACCCACACACAAGTGACTTGTGTGGCGCATATGTATTCAGTGCCCCTTTTTACCAATATTTGTGTTCAAATAAATAAATAGGATTATCCTAACTTCTAACTTAAAATCCCGATTCTGATTTCTCGCACTAATTTACAAAGCTCATTAGATCCTAGTGAAGTGAACTTGCTCAAGATCACTTCGGTGTTGCTCAGTGGTCATCCCACAACTAAAGAAGATTAAATTCGAACTATGGACGAATGACTTGTGAGTGAAAATAAACATCCAAATTAATTAAGTGCCATCTATAATTGTTATATGAAAGCAGAATGCAATAAAATTCTGTCGTAGTCAAATAAATATATTCAAGGTGAATTTAATTGAGATCAACTTTAAAAACAGAAGACAACTTAAAAATGACAATAAGACGACTATAAATATTCGTTGTCGAGTTAACTATCAGAGAAAATTTACACACATAACTTGATGTAGAAAAGTTATTTTGGCCTATTCACATTTCTGAAGTTCGAAGCTACAGAGAAATGACTAAGAGGTATACATAATTAATTTAAATCTTGATAAATACATACATGATCAAGTTGAATTTTAGTGAATACGAGAAAATCACATAATGACATGTATGTGAAGCTCTCATTAATAATAATGATATAAATATACCTTAGCAAGTTCCGTAAGTGGTGCACCGAATTGACCAATCACAAGTTTCATTTCTCTGTACAAATCTGGACCAGCGCATTCGTGACGATATCTAGCAAGATTAAACAACGTATAGGATGGAATAATACCCCGTCGCAATATATGTAACGAAAGCATGAAAGGTTTAAATAATCTTGAAACATACATGATATTTATGTGCCATTTCTATATTTAGGTTTGTGAAAATCAACTTTCCAAAATTAGATTTTAGTTATTATCATTTAATACAATGAAAACCTTGTAGACTTGATTCATAATAAATGAGGAATTTGGATTTAGCTGTCTGATACTGTGAATTATAATAGTTTTCATACATACATGAAGTGGAAATTTCAGTGATAGCATGATAATTTGAAAAATAATAATAACCTCAGTACATAAAGACTACAAGACTAGACAAAAAGACAAAATGTTTGGTAGGAAAAAGCTTGTGACCAAACCAGTACAAATGGTCGTTTTGATCGTCAAAAATCGAACAGTAAACAATGGTAAAGACAATTAAGTTAACAGATTAAAGTTCTATTTGAAATATAATATAAAACCATAGATACCTTTTAAACAATGTATGAGCTGTATAAAGAACTCCATGGACCATATTTAAATCTGCGCCAAGTTGTGCCATTCTTTGCACTAATTCAGGTATCAAATTCGGCCATTTTTCTGGGAAATCCTCTCGCCAAATTGTACTTATGGCTTCGGAAAGTTGCGATTGAATATTCCCTGCTACTGAAAGCATAGCTCCAATGATTTGATTGCGTAATCCATCACGATCAGATGCATGTATACGATCTGTCTCATCTGAGTCCTAGAAAATGAATTATAAATCTTTGTCAGAGTGATATGGTAATTATATATACACAGAGGTGTTATGATATATTAACAACTAACGGTCTTGAACACTCAGTATACACCCACGAAACCCATTATTTATTTACTCATTACAATTATCGTCGCGATCGGAAGTGATAGTAAGAATATGTAACTTACAAAACACCATTTAAAAAATAAGGCGTAAGAGTCAGTTATACAAAACTCAGATACAATCAACGATTCAGGTTAAGCGGTACAGCTTGATGTAAGAACAAATTAGGATGATACGAAGTATGAAAGTGAAAAGTAAAAGACTAATCATTCATACGCGAATGGACGACAATGGTAGCTCCGCACCACAATAGTTTAACTGTGCCACAAGGTAGGGGAAAATCTAGGACCATTATGACTTCATTGAAAGAAAGACGCAGTGGAACATTTAGGTAACAGACTTTCGTACTTGAACGACTATGTTGTAACAAAGACAACCCATGGATAATCACAAAAGCATAAGGTACTTACAACTTGCCAGTGATTCTTGATGAAGTTTTTCAAAGTGATAGCTGCAGCTATTCGTGTTGGGGAAGGGACATTTGGATCCTGAAGAATATGGAGCAAGCATAAGCAATACGATGGGCGTAGTTCCACAGCTTTTAGATATGCCTCTGCTGATCTTCTGGTTTCTCTTTCTGGTGAAACAGTATGTTGTAAGCAGTTAGTTAATTCGTTTATGAACGATGGATCCATACTAGAACCCAAAATTGAGATGCGTGCGCGGCACCTAGAAGCAAACTTGAATACTTTGCGCTAAGTCCAATGTCCAATAGTAAATTTCTGTGAACACATACAGTTTCTTATTCGAATTTTTGCAATAATATCTGGTATTCTATCCTAAATAATCTTAAATTTTCTGTTCATTACCTTGAGTTTAACAGAGACACTACGGGATATTATTGTGTAACTTTGTGAGTTAGATAGATATTCATATCCCCAAAAAGACTGTAGAATCAAATGAGTAATGAAGGTCAATCTGCACTGGAAGAAAACCAACATAAGATGATATGATAACATGAATCGATGGAGGATAGTTAGAAAGTACATGGAACAACTAAAAAGGAAGGAAACTTTCAATGGTCCTTTCAATAAGTACCTAACATTTTAGTCCTATCACTATCTGATTTTGACGCTCAAGACTTCATGTATATTCAGGGCTTGAAAGTGCTGTTGTTTGTAACACCATCATAATCAAAGACTGTGAAGTCAGTCAAACCAGCAGCCAGAAATGGAAGTGTTTTAGGGTTGCAATGACATGTATATTCAATGATTTTTGCAACAACAAAATAAAGACCAATTTTTCTGTTTATTTGGTACGCTCCATATATGATCACACTTGTATTCAATGTCTATTATTTCTTTGTATGATTTGCCAAACATAATTTATTGTCTGTTTTAAAACACACACTACCGATGAAATGGTCAGCGAATGGCCTAAGTTTCATTAATCCGTTTTTCCCCCATATTAGTTATTAATTCAGGCTTTCCATGTACTAGTATAACATTGTCCGTTTCAAACAAAGCTATTTTAGTGTTCTTAAGCATAATTACTTGTTTTCTATGGTCCTCCTTAACGATCGGTTGTGGTAAACAATGTTGAGGAATTACTGGGTCTAAATACAGAAGGAACAGTCGACACTCTATTTTAAGACGATGTCTAATATTCAACATTTACGCTGAAAGTTTGAAGGACTACTTGCTATAAAATGTGATGTTAACTCAATTATATTCATAATTACGAGTTTGTACATGTTTTTAAGTCTTTTGTGAGAAACATCTAACCATAGATTGATTAGTTTCTTGGTCACACCCAAGTATACTATGTGCACCGTATCTAAAAGAAAAGTTCAAATCATATTAATATCAATTTCTACAAAATCGAAATGACCTTGTTGGTGAACGAATTGAGTCTGCCTACGAAAACTACCATCAGTGCTTAGTGCATTTTCACCATTTTGAAACATCATCCATCCATCTAAGCGCTGACCTACTACAACACAATATCGCAGCCTGCTTTCCCATTGTAATTAACTGTGTATCTGACACCTGAACGAACAAGTGCATCACAGATTAAAGCGGCCGGTTTAATAGTCATGTATTCGCTGAACGTATTACTAAGTAGACCCACATAGCTTATTTATTTTAATTCAAAAATGCTGCTCGCAGATACTTTGTTTAATTCGGCTGGCTTAGTATTCCCTCCATAGATACCTATCATAAACAAATCAGTAAATGTAGGGACAACGATGAACTATATTTCTTGACTAGAGCCCTTTGAGATCGAAAGTCCATCTACACTAATACACCAGTTCAACGTATCAAAACCACAAGTATGCAACCAAAGCTCTATATATATTGATAGATTGGTTTTCAATCCGGGATGCTATTAAATACCACTGCTGATATTGAACACTTGTTCAAATTCGTAGGAAACTTCTAAAACTCCTTCGTAAATCCGATACAAGATCTCAAAAAGAATTCAGAATGCTATCAGTACCTCTGATGGTCTGATAGCTATTTGTCACCAAATTATTCACTGCAATGTTGATATGTTCTTCATAGTTTACCAACTTCTGTGAACACAATTGAACGTCATTGCATCTTACAAGAAAGAGATCAAGAAATTCACTTGTAGTGGCATTGGACCATAACCACACAATCTTCAAAACTGAACACAAGACTACTCAGAAAATAAATATTCAATATTTAACGCCGAGAAATACCTAACAATGGAGAAGGCGCGAACAATGAACTGAATGGACTGGAGTTGATCGAGTGGCATGGCTCGACCATGCAGGTGTGGTCTCTGCTGAATGTTACCTCATATCTTCTATTCATATTAAATATATTGTTCTTTCTCTAGCCTAACCTTGTTCTACAGCATGTATTGGTAATTGATACGATACAGTGAGTTGGCGTAGTCGATGGTGTGACTTCCACGTAAGATCTTATAGATTAGGCAGTTATATCATGACGAATCTACAAATTTAGGATTAGGTCTATTATTAGAGCAGTACTAATATTATAGTAGACCATAGTTCTACACACTTCTTCAATTACCATTATCATCCAGATGTCTTTCATTATTGTTGCCACCAGATGCTATCACATTTGATAGATTCTCATTACAATTAATTTCAGTGCTGGCTGTTGTTAATGCAACATAAATCACTGCTAAAGTCGGTTACCGTTATCCGTGCTTTCATTAGCAAGTTAATTACACGAAAGCGAGTTAAGATTTTTTCTGAAAGTCGTTTGCATTTCATTCCATCTTCGGTTATTTGTCGATCTATAACAACCAAGGACGCTTGACAGACTCACTATTGCTCTATGTCTACGAACACACTGATTTTTAGTAAATTCATCATATAGGACAAACGAGATAATTAGCTATAATAAATGTAGGCATAAAGAGCACGACATATGCATTTCGGGAAAGTTTCTGTATCTGAATATTTAGATATATATATGATAATATCCCTCTTTTTTGTCAAACAAGACGTTATTTTAGAGAGATTTATGAAAATGTAAGTACAGTAAGCGGCATATTCAAGGGGGGTACTTTACATATATTCGTCAACAAACTTCTCATAAAATACCATGTAAGTAGGAAAAAATTGGCTTTACTCGGTCGTCCGCTTTATGTCCCTTTTCTTCGCCTTTATTTCCTTTTTATTGACTGCTTATGAGTTATTCAAATAAGCGTTACCTCCGCCATCTATTCTTCTACTTTATTGGCCAAGCCTTATGCTTGAAGATTACAATAGTGTTTTAATATACCTTTAGGCCATTCTACACTATGTTAGAGTTTTGGCCCGGATAATTATTAAATGGTACTATCGAAGTTGTCTTTCTTGTTGATGCCACCACGTGTAGACGAACCTTCGTTGTTCAACTGACCTCATTTGTGGTTATTATTTCAGAAGAAGCCTACAAGTACCATTCATTTCACAAGAGCTGTTATCATTTTGTTCTATAATGTACCGTTTTGTTGTAAGTAAATTTTCTTACCGTTTCGCTTTACTCATAGACTGACACTTCGGTTCGCATTGGTAATATTTTTTGCTATATCAATAATAGCTGTACGTACTCAAATCTTGAATAAGTTCATTACCAGGTGTTACGTCCAAGTTTTGCTCGTTACAGCTATTGAAGTATGGAGCATCGATCTACTTGCAAATTACAAACCGAAATTGACAACAGAACCAAAACCCCAATTCAGATACCAAATTTATTCGCAATTCACAAATAGTCGGCCAAATGTCGTTCTAATAACAATAATTATAACAATTACAAAACAAACTTTCAATTTTGTAGGTCCCCGGAGCAAAACTACCAAAAACCAAACCAACGACAAAGGGAAAGCAAAATGTCCGAAATAATGATGTAAACAAACGAGTTCAAAAGTTAAGTAAAACAAATACATATATAAGCACAGTAAAATTATTAATATACAATATAAAGGTTTTGATCCGCCAATGTCTTCAGTTCTCCTGTAACACCGGGATCCCCCACATATGTAAATTTAGTAATTATTGAAACCAAAAATGAAAGACAATATTATTTAATTTCTTCGTGAAGGTTGATGTGCAGTAACATACAACCTAAAAAACAGGCACAAATAACTGGCTGATCAATAGCTAAGCTACTTTTAGCATTTCAGTTCCAGTTTGGAAAGAGTATGTGGCTAAGTGGCATGCGTTAGTCCTGGAAGTGACAGTCTCTCATTTTATGCAAACTTCCTTTGAAAGAGCTGACGAATGGAGCTTCAGTAATATGTTGAGTTAGTGAATTTCAGTGGTTGATGATTCAATGGGAACACTGATGGTCAGCTGACAAGTAATTTATTCTAGGCTTGTGAACATTTTAGAAGTGTCCTTGTAAATTCTCCGTTTTGAAAGACAAGAAAAGTGAGGATATATCACTAATTAATTTAAAAATTGTGGTCAGTTCACCTCTGTTTCTTCTATATGACAAAGAAAACATTTAGTTTGGCCAGTGGAACATCATATGGGGACTTAGTTGCTGTTCTTTGGACTTCCTCCAACAGATAATTGTCTATTTTTAAGCAGGGGTTAGCTTCTTGTATGCAGTATTTGCAAGCATATAGCCATAATTTGAGATCATTTTCGGCTTCTCGTATTTTTGTGCGGTCCACAAGAAGTAAGACTTTATGGACAAAAACTTATGACCACTTCAGTTTATATTCGATCTATAGTGTAGAGTCGCTTGTGAAAGATTTTAACAGTAATATTACTACAATTTTTTTGAGTAATATGACGTTTAGCACTTCTAAAGAATAGAGCCGTGAAGATAGTTATAAACCCGATACAAAATATAGACGCTACATAAAGTGACCATAGCTGCACGACCGAGTAATGTCGTTTCGACCAACTATCCTCGCGTTCACCATTGTTGACCTTCTCCCAGTGTTACATGTTGAATGTAAATCTCAGTAATTATACACTCAGCTTCCAAGATCATGTGGTTAGGAAGCAATACCACTATAACTCTAGAGACATTTTGAGTCATTAGCTGGTCTAGTAGCCCTTTTACCAACCCAACATCATTTTCAAAACAGGTTCCGAATTCTGAACTTTATTTTCTACGAAAGACAATAAGAATGTAGCATTCACATTCGTTTCTCATCAATTTAATTTTCTTGATTACTCATAGAAAACATTAGACTATACAACTGCCGACCTAAGTAGATTAAATTTTTAAAATAACATATTGTAAAATTAATGTTTCATTTCATTATCTAAAAGAAACCAGTGTAATCTACATCATCAAACATAGACGATATACTCTTAATTGAGATTGTATAGTGTCATGGATGATCGTTAATCATCGTAACTATTTAAAAGGTTTACAGAAAATCGGTGAGGCTGTAATTTATGGACTACCTTCGAAAGACACTAAATCCACCTCGAGAATGTACACTTAATAACTAGGACCAAATGAGGTCTATACACCAGTATAAGGAATTAGAATTAGAATTTACAGTTAATGGTTAGGGGGTAAGAATTACAATTAGAGTTTTCATCACTAACTGACATCAACTGAAATGCCAAAACTCTGTTTAACCAAATGGATGAGTGAATTTCGCGCCGAAATCAGAGGCCTGTTATCTTATGCCTGATTGATTTGTAGCGTGGAGTTGAGGCGAAATTGACTATGAACACCACTACAAAAGAACGCGTACCAGGATATCTATAAAATCCCACGGAAGCCAAATATCAGAAGGCAGTTAGTGGACCAACTCGAGATATATTTGCTGGCGACCTCGTAGTATCGAAAGAATACCGAGATCGTGCCAGGATACAAGCTTGGTTACTAAGCGTAACCGAATTCGTGCGAAGTCACAATCAAAGTGTGTGAATAATGGATGCTTTTTAGCACAGTTGAACAAAAGCACATTTAAACAGTTACTGGTACAATTGGTTATAATAATAATTGTTATCATTAAACCAATCGTGTTCTCGTGATAAAAGTAAGTCACTACAGGTTCGTCCATAAATTATAGTCTCGCTCATTCACTAATAACGACAACAGTTCCCCTTACTCATTCACTGACAACTAATTTTTATGATAATTTTCAAAGTTATTATTTTCAATTATGTAATATTCAATGATAATTTTATTCGGTAAAAACCGTGAAGGATAAAAATATTGTGTAAAGTTTTAGGAAAAAAGATATCCACAATCAATATGCAGTTCAGATCAACATGCGTATCAACTTGAATCAGACACATTTCAGGCCAACCAAAGTTGATACTACGTGTGTCGATTAGAAAGAATTCTCAGTTGAGCGAACGGATTTTTAGAGAAATCAATAATAAAAACACGATTCTAATGGTATTGATGTAACTGCCTAAATAATAAATCCGTCTGTGTGACCACCAGTCTAGGTGACTCGACATTGCGTGCACTATGTTGAGATAAGATGGTGATTGGAGGTATGTAACAGAAAACCCTGGACCTACGTTTTCAACTTGGTCGATAGGATTCGATCTACACTAAGAAGTACCTGATATATATGACATTGATCACCACCTAGTGATCAATCAATTTTAAATTCATCTGAGTCCTACAGGAGGCCAGTCGACGCTTGCATAGCTCAGTGGTAACGTCTCTGACTGTGAAATTGGGTGACACAGGATCGAATTTGTCAGGGAGCATCAATTCCCTTAAGATTACCGGTACACCTTTCTGATGAGTGCAAAATAGTACGAAAAATTAGGTCCAGGAGTTTCTGTTGACTACCTCCAACCACCATCTTATATATAAATATATACTGAAAATTCTGTCTTTCTTATACTACTACTGCTACTACGTCTAACATTCTCACTACTACCATTTTACTAGTATTCATTACTCTTAATTGCACTCTTGATATCTGACTTTTTGTTGGCCTATGGTTCGTGACAGACTAATGACTTGATAGATTTATTAGTATGATAGATATTCTACTGCATTTGGGATATTTTTCATAAACCATAAATAGTATACAATGTAAATTGTAAGGAACTACCACCTACTATACAATTCGATTGTTAATGATATTATTTCAGGTAACTGAATAGTTGCATTGTCTTTTGTATATCTCATTATCAATAGCATTTCATCATTGCCTAATAATCTACCTATTCAGTCATAATTACAGTGAAAGAGAACACAAATACGGACGATCGAATGTATCTGATCACAAAATTATAGAGCACCTTAATAAAATATTAGATCTATAGAGTACATATTTCATTTGCAAAATGTTAATCAATCGTCTCAGACTTCATTGTTCCTGCATTTCCATACCAATGGCTTTCTGTTCCCGTTCTCTCCTTCTTGATCTTCTGCTGCAAGATATTCTATTCCTGACTAGCAGTTATATACTGCTTATGTCGATATAAGTACCACACACAAAGTTACTACGTACACATAACAGTGAAACATTCAAAAGACTAAACGGTAACACTGGAATCATTGCAACAGGTTTACTATTGTGTTTTGAAACATTATTCATCATAATATGACTTATCAACAATATTTGATATCAACTAGGATTATCCTATTTCACATCAATGTTTTAATTAAGACCAATAAAGTAATGATGAGCATTTATTTATTAAAGTAAGAAGAAATCAATTTGATGATTAAAAAAATGGTTACTTATTACAAGTTATAAACGATACGATGAAAAGAAAATACATGTTCATTATTCATCTTTTGAATGCATCAACTGGAGATAGATGACCTAGAATTCAAACAAAAGATATAGGTTTGAATGCAGTAATCATGGGAATTCGGTGAGGCTATAATCTATGAATGAGCCAATGAGAAGCGTTTGAGGGGTTTCAAAGTCGCAGCGCCAATTTCAGTACCCGATCCTCACGTACGATCGGTACACAGAGGATTGTAGGGAAAGAGATAATTGAGCGACTACAACCAAATGGAACTACCGAGAAATTTTTCTATTTGTGATTATGATAAACAAATGACTTGTGGATATTCTGCAGACTACCGTGATGATGTTGTCTTTCGATAGAGTATGTGTTGGAGGAAGAAGCCTACTAGAATAGGAACTTTTTCGCTCGATTCAGATTAAGACTAAGGCAAATTGTGACAACTGTTGTGAACTGGATAATAAAAGCACCAGTAACACTGGCTGCAGTCTGTTACTACATTATATACGATTGATTGGAGAGCGCACAGACACCTACATAGACTTAATTATGTGCATCATGTCGTTATCTACAAGCGGCACTTCATGGATCCGACAACCGGAGTGCACACAAACAATATTGAAGCTATTTATTCGACGCTGAAAGAGTTTTTACGACCTTATCATGGCTTCAGAGGCCGACTATTATAGAGCCTACATGGATGATATCCTCTACCGTAAGTATTATGATTTCAGAACCTCTGAACCACTTTCTAATCTTGAAAAAATTTTTAACCACTAAAATGAAGTGTATGCACTTTAATTCTCTGGTCTTGTATAATAGATTTTTACCCTACACTAACTTTTTTCCAATTGGCTAATACTTCTGAAAGTCATTTAAGATTCGTTCAAAGGTTGCCCATAAGTTATAGTTTCACTTAGAATGCTTCTAGTTAAAATTGAACTGGTCAAGTTGTATATCTCCGGGGTGAATACATGAATTAAGCACTTAGTTATAAGTAACATACTCAACAATATACATTCATATGTATTACATCCATTAAATCATTGTGTATTCATAAGATACTGTGTTGAATATGATTTAATCAAGTTACATATTGACGATTTTCCGGAGACGGTATTTTCCTCATGTTATTGATCATTCACTATGATATTGTGAAGATCGTTGAGTTTCATTAAAATCGAATACTGTTAAAAACCTGGGAGCACTAGATGGACATTGGCTCTTCATATGGGACTGTTCAAAGTGTGAGACTGAAGGTCCTGGGTTCGAGCCTTACTTGTGGGGGCGTTGTGAATGCGTACTGCTCAAAAGTCTCATACTAGGATGAAACGGCCGTCCATCGGTCCTAGTTTTTCAATGGTGGTCTAGTTCAAATCGGTTCATTATTTCAATGTTATATATGCATATCATACTATTCAATTGATACTAGACTGATATACATGTAATGGGGCATCTTTCAGAAATATAACATTAATTGAAGAAACTGTGAGTAAATATGTTAAGATCCAATGGAACTTATTCATATCACGACTTACTCGTTTCTGGTGGAATGTAAATCTCATTGATAATTTCTAAAAGAAACTGATGTGCTACTACAATAATAAAATAGAACAAGGAAAAGTATATAAAATTTAAATGAATATCTAATGGTTATAGGATATTATTCTTCATGATAGGAAACCGCTTAAATTACACCACGGTAAAACTCTGTAGATAAAACTGACATGAACAATCATCCATCCATAAATATTTCTGCAGTTATCTATGGGAAAATAGGAAAAAATTACTGATGAACTTACCAACTATTTACTTCTTATGAACTAACTTATCAAGGATTACCAACGCGGCTCGTTTGAAACCAGATTTTGTATGATCTGTGACTTTGTTCTAATTTGGTGTTTACTGGACTCAGTTAAAGACAGCTCGATTTTGATGCTAGGTTTTGATGTTCCCAAAGTTTTTGACATGGTTAGTCTTCAGTGGGGCTATTCATCTTGACATAAATTAGATCTGATGATGCTGTCGACCGACACACCATTAGAGCAGTCCTGGATCTGATCCCAATTAGATCGTATGAATTATTGCTGTCGAACTATATATATATCTATATATATATCGTCTATCCTCGTCTAATCAGAATACTCAATAGTTGCAATGACTGAACATTTAAAATTTTTATCAGTTTACTAATAGAGTGATATACAATTTCTAGTGTAGTCATTTATTGGCCCACGAACATCCGACTTATACCGTATATAATTGTCGACTTAAATCGCTTTATTGTATAATGGAATCAAATAAGCCAAATGCGAGAATGGATGTTTGAATATGTATATTTTGTACACTCGTTGATCGGAACAGACAATCAGAGAATCGCAGCGAATGAAACGAACAATAGAGAGCGAAGTGAAACGAAATGGAGCGCGGTGGAGATGGCATATGAGCCAACCCATTTAACCAAGCCTCAATCAATATTTAAAGTCACACAAAATTAAGCTGCAGACATGTGATAAATGGGATAAGAAATGCACACACATACACTCATATGAAAACAGTCAAGGTTGATAAGCGAATAACTAACAAGGTCAAAACATGACTCAAGCAGAATGGATAAATTAGCCTATCCACAAGCTAGAATAAGGTATATAGGCTAAACATAGTAACCGACACTGCAAGTATTCAGCTTTTCAAAGACAAATTGACATCTTAAGAGATCAGAAAGTCTCTTCCTGCTTGTCTTAGTCAATCATTCAGTCAGTCAATTAATTAACTAGTCATTTAATGGCTATAATTGACGTTCCAAGTTCATGATATTGTATCTTTCTTATTCATATCGTTAAGTTACATTCATAAGTTTTCAAAAGGACTATTACTGAATAAAAAAGCCGGTGAGACCATAATTTATGAATGTCATTTGAGTGACATTAAAGTGACCTTGGGGATGTCCACCTACTTGCTAGGGTTAAATAAGTGTTATAAACCTGTGTGAAGAATAAAGATTATGATTTACAGTTGATGGTTAGGGTTAAGGACTAGATTTAAGGTTTTCATCACGAATTAACATCAACTATAATGTCAAGACTCTATTTAGCCAAATGGATGAACGAATTCTGCGCCAAAATCAAAGACCTGTTATCTCAAATTTTATTGGTTCGTTCATAAATCATAGTCTCACTAAAAAGTTTAGTTACTTACACAAATCGGTATTATATTGATTAATGTAGGTGCGTTGTGATTTCATTAGGCTCATAAGATCGATAACAGCTGAAAAAATAAGCAATTTATTCAATGTAAATAAACGGACAAATGTCAGTGTTATTATCATAGAGGGATTTTGTGGAGATTGTAGTAATTTCAATAGTTGATATTATGAGTCATTTGAAGCTAGACCAACATGGAAAACTTGCAAGCAGTGGACAAACGTTTCGTCCTGTTGAGGGACTCCTCATGAGTGCGCAGACACGATCCCACCCCACGAGATTCGAACTCAGAACTTATCAGCTTCGCGCACGAACCCTTAACCTTTTGACCACTGAGCCGGTCGGTATCCAGTAGTGCTAATGTCTGACCTCAACCAATCCACGAAATTGACGAAACACATCAAACATTGTCTTTAGTGAATTACTATCTCACAATGGTGTTATTCACATCAGTGTTATTCTCCAGTATCTTGCATATTACATAACAATTAACGCACAGAATTCGAACATCGACTGTAATTCATTTCAAGGATTACTTCCTTCCAGATATTTTTGTCTGTAATAGCTGATAATGACAGAGTATTTATTAAAAAATGGAAGACTAATAGTACAATTTACTTATTATGTAACTAAGAAATGAGTAAGTTTCTTGTTCATTAGATCAAATATACTTATTCGTGAATTGATTTTACTTGAAGGGCCGTAATATGATCAATTCTCAGCAGCGACCAGTGGAGTTGAACTGGGACTTTTGTGAGCTAGTAACTCGCTGAAGACAATGGTGGATGTGTCGCTCGAGACTGATAGGTCCTTGGTTCGAATCTAGCGAGGCGGAATTGTAGATGCAGATTGCTGAGGATTCCAACAATAGGATGAAACGGTCCTCCATTAATTCCAGGTTTTCCATGATAGTCTAGCTTCAGTTGAATCATAATCTAAACCATTGAAATTACTATAATATCCACAAAAGCCCTTCTTATATCAATTCCTAGTATCTTTAATGATGTTTCAATGCATAAAACAAACTATTCATTCGCAGTGTTTTATAATCTATAATCTGAATGATGTAAGTTAAACTTTTATGCATCGTTGTGTTTGAGAAACACAAAGAAAGGCTAATTCAATTCTTACTGATGAGAAATGACATTCTAGGAAACGAATCATAAATATGTATATATATCCCCTTTATAGCAAAATTGACTAGACTGCAACACGGTAGCCAATTTTTCGAGTTCAGTGTCAACAGAATGCACTCGAAAAGTGGAAAGTCGAAGGTTCAATGTCCGAGACTTATCAGGACTGGGAAACCATTGAGTTAGGCGTAAGGTCTCTAGTGTAGCGCGTCTTTGCATCAGTAGGCCTCACCATAAACGAGGGAAAAAGCAAGATCTTGGAATACAACACAATTACACTTGATGGAGACATTCTCGAAGAGATGGAATCCTTCACACTTCTGAACAGCATCATCGATCAACTAGGACGATCTGATGTAGATGTAAATGTGAGGATTGACAAAGTAAGAACACTATTCCTACAATTGAGGAGTATATAGAACTCAAGACAACTCTCAACCAATATCAAAGTCACAATCTTCAACAACAACATCAAGACACTTCCACTACTATATAGAGCTGAAACTTCAAGACACATCACAACTACCATCAAAGTGTACAAGTATTGATCAATAATTGTTTGAGTAAGATACGGAATGTCCAATGGTCGGACACCATCAGCAACAGCCTACTGTATTACAGAACAAACCAACTTCCAACTGATGAGAAAATTAGGAAGAGATTATGGAAGTGGATAAGACAACAGATTGAGGAAATCATTAAGCTGCATCATGAGGTGAGTACTAACTTTGAATTGTGAAAGGGAACAGAAAATGAAAACACGAAAGTAGACAGTGTGTCGAGAATTGTAAGCAGACATAAGAAGAATGAATAGTAACTGGAAAGAACTGGAGAGGATTGCGTAGGACAGGGTTGAATGGAGAATGTTGGTGATCTATCTATGTTCCTCCACGAGAGGTAACAGGAATAAATAAGTATATATATATATATATATATATATATATATATATATATAACCTAAGCAAAACCTGATTGAAATGTTTCATCTAAATCATGCATTTCTAACAGTGACAGTATAATTTAATCTAAGTTACCTTTTCGACCAGATTTTAGATATGAATTGCACCTTCTCTTTTTAACTTCAGGCAACTTACCTATTGAGATATGAGAAAGAATTGTAAATTATTAATTTGACAAGTTACTATATCATACTTAATTGTTTATCTTAATGAAATAAATATCGTACATGATAGTTTGTATATTACTTATTGATTCCATCATAAGTAGTTAAATTATATGAATTCTTGAGAATATTTACATCATTTGGTGTTATTGTGTGTGGAAGATCAAAGAACATATTACACCGAGAATTGGAGAAAAACATGAAGAGAATGAACAACAATTGGATAGAACTTGAAGGGAAGCCTCAGGACAAAGTGGGTTGGAGAATGCTGGTCGGTGACCTATGCTCCATCGGTAGTAACAAGAGTAAGTAAATTAAGTACTGAGCAAAGATGGATAGTGGCTAGCAGTGGAATCCGGGACGCGCGTCTCATTCCATTCGGGACTCGTCGGCCGGATGTATATGCATCTCAGAGTTGATGTTCGCTTCGGGAGTCGAACCCAGTACCACTCGCTTCACACGCCATCGCGTTATCCACTTAGTTACTGAGTATTAGGGAATGATGGTAAATCAGTTGATGAGGTTGTGAATCTTCATCGACTGAGATGGTTGAGCCACGTGTTGCGTGTGTCTGAACATTGATTACCACTACGCGCAATGCTGACTAGTGTTGGGGATGGTTGGAAGAAAGTTAGGGGTGGCCAAACCAAAATGTGGCATCAGTGCTTGAAGTCATCAACTGCTAGTCTGCACCATGTTGGTAGATGCAGACTACTTGGTTGGGCTACGCTTGACTATCGTAACCAATGTATGGAGACTGTGTGTGACATGACTCAGAATCGATCGTTATGGTGTAGGTGTGGACACTCTGTCTTCCCTTAAATTATGAGATTAAAATTGCTTCATATCCCTCTTTCTACCAACTAATTCTTTCTTCATGTACTACATCCGTATATGCGATCTTTATTTTATATATTACCAATATTGAACTAACTACTTCTATGAATCCGGTGTTCATCTTGTTGTGCCGATGAGGTGTGGTAACTTGGACCGATGCATATATGTGCCTGATCCTACGTTGTAGCTGACTGACTACCTGATCATAGTTCGAATATCCAGATTGTAGATATAGATTTTTGTCAACTGTCATATAATAAAAAACTTAAATCTACAATATCCAACTCACTATCTTCAATCATCTAATATCATAGCATAGTGTATTCGATACTGCTTCACTTAGATTGCTGAATATACTATCAGTTGATCATCATAATAGACCAAATAATGAGTAACAATGAACGATAGAATATAAGCAAAACATTTTGTATTTCATTTAGACCTGAAGAATAACTATAAAGAATAAATAATACAATAGAACAGATTGATATGTTTAATCTTACTACGATAAATTCTTAATTGTTTCCGATAACACTTTTTCCATTCGGGTGCTTTCGAATTCACTACATCTATGAAATGTAAATAAAAATGGGATAAAGCTATTGCGAAGATGAAGAAGAAGAAGAAGAAGAAGAAGATGATGATGATGATGATGATGATGATGATGATGATGATGATGATGATGATGATGATGATGATGATGAAGGAATCACATTTATAAATTATGAAAGAGTAGTATTAACTCTAAAGAATTCATCGTATTGTGACAGTTGATTAATCGTCTGTTCGGTAGTTCTACTTTGGTATGTGCTACTGATGTCAACAGATATAAGTAATATATATCATCAATAGAAAGTGAAATGCTTGGAGGTAGAAGTTTAAGAAGATCGAAGAAAAGTAAATGAGAACAAAGAATGATTGATGTGGCAACGAAAGAACAATCAAGTCTGAGACGATTGATTAAGATATTGCAAATGAATTATTTACTGTATGGTTCTCAGATTTTACTAATATGTTATGTAATTTTATATTCAAATACATTTGGTTGTCCCCACTTGTGTTCTCGTTCACCGAATTTGGTGTCGCTATCAACCAGGAGGGGGAAAGGGTGCTGTACTGCAGACGACGATGCGGTCCCGTAACTGAGGTGCTCGTTGGTGTAGTGTCTACTACTCATATCAACACAAGTAGTAAATGACGCTAGTCAGGAATAGAATGTCTGGCAGCAGAAGGTCAAAGTGATCGAGTAGGAAGAATGGAAACAGAAAGCTATTCGCATAGAAACGAACGAACATTGAAGTCTGAGATGATTGCTTGACATTTGACAAATGATGCATTTACTGTATGGTTCTCATATTTTACTAAGATGTTATGTAATTTTATATCCAAATACATTCGATTGCCCCCATTTGTGTTCTCGTTCACTACATTAGCATAAAGCATTGTATACATGATAAGATGATAAGCTTTATCCCATGGAAAGCTGTTAGTATGTCTGGTGTTCATGATATTATTAATTTAAAAAATTATTACAAGCACTTAAAATATGTTCTTGATTGAGATCATGAACCGATTGATGTTCGAACACGATTTAAAACCTGGAAGCGCTAGATGATCGTGTCGTCCTATTGTGAAACTCTTGAACAGTACACGTCCACGATCTCGTTCTTGGGATTCAAACCCAGGATCTTCGGTCTCGCACGAGAACGCTTATCCTCTTGACTATTGAGTTAATGGTAGTCTAACTTCAATCGGTTCATGATCTCACTGAAAAACTCAACAGTCTCCACAACCTCATACCGATACTTACGATATCTTCTTTCGATATTATCCATCGTATGTATGAAATCTAAACGAAAGAGTTAAACAAATGAAACATACTCGATGGTTTATGTCATACATAAGTTATATTCAATATTACAGCATCTATATCTTATTCCATAGATACATCACAACAACTAAGAGAAATAATATACATTTATGTCGATACATATCCACATAGAAATCATAGCTGCAATGAATAGCTTCGAAAATTCCTTCAGCGTTGTCCAATGAGTCAAGGTGTGGTGTGGGTTACTTATATCCATATAAGTAGTATATAACGGTGGTCAGACATAGAATGTATTTCAGCAGAAGATCGATAAGGAAAGAACGAAAGCGGAACACAGTTGGTATGAAAATACATGGACAATGAAATCTGAGTCAATGGACTGATTTTTACAAAAGGAACAGTCAAGTTTGAGACGATGGATTGATATTTTGCAAAATAACTATTTATTATATGTAAATTCAATAGAAGTTGTTATAATTGTAGTTTTCCATTTTTATTTAGGACTGTAATTGATCAGTCTCATGTTGACATATGTGCATCCTGTGCGGATTGCTTCGATATAGTCTTAAGTCACAAGCTATTTAGGCAAAGATGAATAGTGGCTTGCAGTCCAATCCCAGACTCACATTTCGTCCTATTTGGGACTCGTAACCTGGATGTATCTGCATCTAAGAGTTGATGTTCACTCCGGGACTCGACCCCAGTACCGTTCGCTTCAAACGCTATCGCTTTATCCACTTAGCTACTGAGTCCTGATAGCCACCTCCTTGTGCAATGGGGTGAAGTTTAAATTCAATTGGTGTTGTTTTACTTGTATCTTCCCATTGTTATTTATTTGCTATATGGTTCTCGGATTTTAGTGAGATGCTCTGTAATTTCGTATCAAATACATTCGATTGTGCTCACTGTTGTTCTTGTTCACTACAAAGGCAGTTAATGAGTAAAGTGTAAAGTGAATCTTTTCAGATCATTATTAACATTGATTGTTGATAGACATTTGAAATCTTTCAAACTCTAAGCTGATCTTATCATATCAGATCCTAATGTGGTGTTTGAATGAACTAATGATTCCTTTGTACTTGTTGAATGCTTGATTTCGAATTCCAAATACAGTATATTCGTTCATGCTTATCTAGTACATCTTGATCCAATTACGTTATTTCTGGGATTCTTAGTTCATCATACCTAACCATTTACTTCATTCATATTTTTCTCTTTCTATATCCTCTGGTAGTACAAGACGTCAATACATCAGAATCCATGAGGATAAGTAAATGTGTTGAAAACTCTATAATACCTTATCTAGAAAATATACTCTGTGACGAATGACTTGTTCGAGTTGAATTAGTCAATAAGTTGTATTCATAAACATGTTTCTAATTAAGCTAGTTGTACGGATTTAAATCTTCTTCGATAAAGTACACATATCATTTGATTCTTGGTAGTTTATTTATTGAATTTAGTTCTAATGAGAAGCAGTAATCAATGAAGTTCAACAAGGTCTGTTGTGAGATTGTAACTCACTGATGACGATGATGGATGTGTCATTCAATTTTGTGGATTCGTTGAACTTAAACATTAACACCAACCGACTCAGTGGTCTAGTAGTTAAGCATTCGTGCCTGAAAGTCCTGGGTTCGAATCTCAGAGGCGGGATTGTGGATGCGCACTGCTGGAGCGTTCCATATTAAGACGAAACGGCCGTCCAGTGCTTCCAGGCTTTTCATGTTGGTTTAGCTTCAAATGACTCATGATGTCAACTATTGAAATTGCTATATTATCCACAAAAACCCCTTCTGGTTTTATGTATGTTTGTATACAGTTATCAGTTTTTTCTCTCTAAATTTTAGTTTGGAAAAGGAAATTGTTGAAATAGTTTGTGTTGAGAATTCTGTTTTTTTTAAGGAACATATAGTATTGAATAAAACCATTAGTAGTACCACTACTATTAATAATAATAATAATAATCAGTATGGGGTTGTGGAGATTTTTCACTATTTTTTTAATAAGATCATGAATCCATGAGTGTTTGACTACCATCGAAAACCTGGGACCATTAGACTGCCTTTTCGTTCTGTTGTGGGACTCATGAACAGTACTCAACCACGATCCTGCACGTAAGATTCAAACAAAAGATCTTCGATCTCGCGTGTGAACGTATAACCTCTAGACCACTAAGCTGGCATCCAAGAGTGTTAATGTCTAATTTCAATCAAACCACGAAATTCTGCAACCACTTTCCATTGTCTGAGATAGATACTTATCCTTCTTCGACATGGATCAGCTCCACTAGTGATGGCTTCTCACAACAACTCCGAGATTCACCTCTCCAAGGTAGTCACTAGTCGTCAGCCAGTACATCATAATAATTATCAGTATAGGGCTGTGGAGATTGTCGACTATTTTCATCATTCAGATCATCAATCGATCAATGTGATGCCTGGTAGTGATAGGTTATGTGCTAGCTGTGTCGAAACATACTACGCACAAACATGAGTAGCATGATGAAAGTGGGGGGGGGGTGTTGTTGGCAGAAGGGATTCGAATTCAACACCTTAGGTCTGATGCACGAATAACCAACTCCTAGACCACTAAGACGTCATCCGACGCTTTTAATGTCTCACTTTAATCAATCCACGATATTATCCAACCACTTTACATTGTCTTCGGTGACTAACTGCTACCTCACACTCCACTCGGATTGTCTCCACTGGTCATGCCTTTTCACTAGAACTCCAAGAATCTAGTCACCAGTGACCATATGAAGTTGTGGAACCTGTCGAGTTCGTGATCGAGATCACGAATAATAACAATAAGAACGACAACAACAAGATCAATTCAATATTCTATCATAATTATCTAATAACATACCTTGCATTTGCTTAATACCGTTATCAACTTCTAGAACTTTTTCCATACAATCCACATCTAGAATAATTTAAATGTTTATAATCTATTATGTCATGATCATACATTGATTAATTGATAGTGATTTCATTGAAAGTTTTTCATTGATTTGATCTGTATAAAAAAATAAACAATCAATTTTATGAATTTGTTACTATGCCATTAAAATATGTTTACAGAAAAAAAACGAGAAAGAGAGAGAGGGAGTGATCACAATTGATTGATCACTGGGTGGTGTTCAATGTCATGTGTACCAAGTCCATATTAGTGCAGATGGAATGCTGTCGATCAAGTTGCAATGTGGTCACTAGTTTAAGTGACCTGACATTGCTTGCACTATGTTGAGATCAGATAGTGGTTGGAGGTAGTTAACAGGAAACCCTGGATCCGAGTTTCGTGCTATTTGGCACTTGACAACAACGTGTACCTGAGTGAGTGAGTGAGTGAGAGAGCCAAAACGAAGGTTGATTTATGAGTGATTGATCACTGGGTGGTGCAGATTGAATTCTATCGATCAAGTTGTAGTGTGGCAGCTAGTCTAGGTTGCTGTGTACGCTACTTATATCAATATGAGTAATATATAACAATAGTCAGGATTAGAATATCTGGAAACAGAAGATCGTGGAAGAAAGAACAGGAACAGAAAGCAGTTGGTATGAAAATGCAGGAACAATGAATCGTGAAACGACTGACTAACATTTTAGAAATGAAGTATTCACTATATGGTTCTCAGATTTCAATAAGATATTCTGTAATTTTGTATTCAAATACATTTGTTTGGCCCCACTTGTGTTCTTGTCCACTACATAAGTGACTCAATATTGCGTACACTATGTTGAGATAAGATGATGATTGGAGGTAGTTAACAGGAATGTTTAAACCTAGGTTTCGTGTTACTTGACACTTGTCAGCAAGATGTACCTGTATTATTCTTGAAAGAACTGATGCTCCCTAACAGATTTAATCCTGTCTTACCTAGTTTCACAATCAAAGACATTGCCATCGATCTATCCGGGCCGCAACTGACCTCTTATAAGACTGAGATGTATTTACAATTGATTAATCACTAATCTTTTGATCAATGTCATGTATGTCAGGTCATTCTTAGTGTAGATCGAATCCTATCGACCAATTCGCTATATGGACATAAGTCTAGATGACTTGATATTGAGTACAATATGTTGTGATAAGATGGTAGTTGAAGGTAGTGAACAACGAACACTGGATTCGAGTTTCGTACTATTTGGCACTGATCATCATCATCATCATTGATTATCTTCTCATTAACTGTTTATCATTTGAAATAGATTATAAACAACATTATTATTACAAATATTGACCTCATTAAAAATATGAAAGTGAATTACAAATGAAGATATGTGTATTACATATTATAGCAAAGATACTAATTAGAGTTTACTGAGGACATAAAGAATGTTTATTTCAGATAAATAAGGTTTTGAGAGAGATAGATAGATAGAGAGAGAGAAGGTTCCAGAATATTGAACTCATGATTAGAACACATAGAATCAGATGATGACGTAATCAAGATATGAATTGGAATCCAGTGGCGTCGAGTCGCAGTTGACTATGATCACCACCACAGGAAGACTACGTGTCAGTTAACCGATAAGATCCCCCGTAAGTCAAATATCAGAAGGCAATTGATGACTGTAGTCGAGATGTATTTGTTGGCGATCTCGTGGTATCGAAAAAATACCGAGACCGTGCCAAAGGAGTACAAGTGTGTTTACTGAGCGTAACGGAATTCGTTCAAGGTCACAATCAACGGAAGAATGTATGTCTTTAGTACAATTAGACAAACAAGTACAGTAAAACAATCACTGGTACAAGTGGTTATAATAATAATAATTGTTTCCAACGAACCAATCGCATTCTCTTCATAAAAGTAAATCACTACAAACTCAACAATTTCCACAACTTGTTATGTTCATTAGTGACTAGATTCTTAGAGTTCTAGTGAAAAGACATGACTAGTGGAGTTAATTTATGTCAGGGAAGGATAGGTATCTATCTTAGACAATAGAAAATGGTTACGGAATCTCGTGGTCGCTGTTGTTGATGTAATCAGCTGCTAGTGGGCAGCTTATACTCTTCTACGAGAGGTAACAGGCGTAAGTAAGTAAAACTAATCTCAAAACATTTCCATGATACATGACATCAAATAGATACACTCAAGTCTTTCAAATCTTTTGTAGATATGACTTGGAATCCAACCAATTTTATGAATTAAAGAAAAATGATGATGATGTAATCAGAGAAATTGAAATAATGAATGATGTAATGTTATCAGGATGAACAAATATGTATTACTGTTTCTATTTTGGATACATAAATTTAGTTGAAGAGGTTTGAACACAATAGCCTGGATAAATTTCAGAAGATTAGGATCGAATTATTTATGAATCATCTGTCATTTCAAGACATTAGTACGTCTCAACAAACACAAGATCCTCAAATACAACACAACCATACTTGATGGAGACATTCTGGAAGAGATGAAATCCTTCACATATCTCAACAGCATCATCGATCAACAAGAACGATCTGATGTAGATGTAAATGTGAGGATTGGCAAAGTAAGAACACTATTCCTACAATTGAGGAATATAGAGAACTCAAGACGACTGTCAATCAATATCAAAGTCACAATCTTCAACACCAACATCAAGACACTTCCACTACTATATAGAGCTGAAACTTCAAGACACATCACAACTACCATCAAAGTGTACAAGTATTGATGAATAATTGTTTGAGTAAGATACGGAATGTCTGTTGGTCGGACACCATCAGCAACAGCCTACTGTATTACAGAACAAACCAACTTCCAACTGATGAGAAAACTAGGAAGAGATTATGGAAGTGGATAGGACAACAGATTGAGGAAATCATCAAACTGCATCATGAGGTGAGTACTAACTTTGAACTGTGAAAGGAAACAGAGAATGAGAATGCGAAAGGAGACAGTGTGTCGAGAATTGTAAGCAGACATAAGAAGAATGAATAGTAACTGGAAAGAACTGGAGAGGATTGCGTAGGACAGGGTTGAATGGAGAATGTTGGTGATCTACTCATGTTCCTCCACGAGAGGTAACAGGAGTAAATGAGTATACATATATATATGTAACCTAAGCAAAATCTGATTGAAATGTTTTATCTAAATCATGCATTTCTAAACAATCGAATACCAATCTTTCGGAACTCTCCGAAGCTATAATGATCAAATGTCTTCAATCAAATTCCTGTATCCGATTTGTAACATTAAAAGAGGTACAAAATGTATGATAGTTTCAAGGTCGTCACAGGTGGGCGAATTCAAAATTACAAAATAACTATCAAATAATCAACAAATATGTCGTGAATGCGCACTGCTGAGGAGTCCCACAATAGGACGAAACGGCCATCCAGTACTTCCAAGTTTTCTATGGTGATCTAGCTTCAGTTGACTCATGATCTCAACCATTGAAATTACTATAATCGTCACAAAACCCCTTCTGATACAAATATATATTATTGTAGTGAACAAGTACATGAGTGGGGACAATCGAATATATTTGAATATAAAATTACAGAACGTATAACAATGGTATCATACTTGACTGTTCCTTTTGTAAATATCAATTCATTGTCTCAGATTTCATTCGTTCTGTATTTTCATACCAATTACTTTCCGTTCCCGTTTATTTTTTTCTCGATCTTCAACTGAAATACATTCTATTCCCGACTATCATTATATACTACGTATGTGGATATAAGTATCTCACACCACAGTATGTTAAAGATTCATTAGTGAGATGAGTAAATATGATTGAAGTTAGACATTAACACCGTTGGATGCCGGCTCAGTGGTCTAGTTGGTCAAGCGCATGGCGCCAGACTGATAGGTCCTCGGTTCGAATCCAGCGAGGTGCGGGATCGTAGATGCGCACTGTTGAGGAGTTCCATACTGGGACGAAACGGCCGTCCAGTACTTCAAGGTTTTCCATGGTGGTCTAACTTCAATTGACTCATGATTTCAACAAGCGCAATATAAAACACTCTATATTATCCTCACTTATGCTTTGTGACATCATAAATCCTGCATGAACTTACATGTCACCATTCCAATTTGTTTTTTCGTATTTCTTAAATTCTCTTCATCCATCTTTAAAGTTTCTATGATAACGTAATGAAGAAAAAACAAAACTATTTAGAATGTAATGAATAGTGAGTTCATATTGAGCTTTAGAAAAAACATTATGATGAGGTAACTCAATGTATAATTCTAACTAGCATTTGTTATACACTGAAGAGTATATACAAAAACTATTGAATACATTCTGTTATGATCCTTTTGTGGATAGGGTATACTTTAATGAAATTTACATTGACATCTCCTTGAGTCTTTACTATTCTCCGTTTTTAATCCCCCCCCCATAGCACGACACACTGATTATCGTTCATAAATACACTGTTACACACACATGTCACTTGTTCTCAGTTACTTGTTGCTGTGATAACAGAACTCTAATGTATTTAACTATTAACGTTTATAGATCATAGTGATACTCCCATTATATACTTCATCTGGATGTATACAGCTTAAATTATAACAATTATGATCGGAATTATTAACGACTTATAATTGTGGATTATTATACCAAATGAAACTCGAACACGCCAATTCCTGACAATTTAAGTAAGGTCTTGTGTTTATAAATTATATTTAATATCATAATTGAGTTAATGATTCATTTGAAACTACACCATGATAGAAAATCTGGAATCACTGAACTGCCGTTTTGTCCTAGTGTGGGACTCCTCAGTGGCGCACATCCATGGTTCTGCCCTGCAGGGTTCGAACTCAGGGCCTTCAGTCTCGTGTATGAACGCTTAACCTTTAGACCACTGAGATGGTCGGTATTCAATGGTGTTAATGTATAACTTCAACTAATCCATGAAATTGACTCATGAACCCAACTGTTAAATTATTATAATATCCACAAGAAACCCCTTTTTGAGTATATTTATTATATTAATACGATAAATTGTGGAATAAGCGCTGGAAGTGGATAGAATACACATTGAGGAAAGCACCCAACTGAGTCACAAGGCAAGCCCCCATATGGAATCCTCAAGGCCAAAGAAAAAGATGAAGACTACAGAACACATTACGTCGAGAAATGAAGACAGACATGAGAAAAATGAACAACAGTTGCATAGAACTGGGAAGGAAGGCACAGGACAGAGTAGGTTGTAGAATGCTGGTTGGTGGTCTATGCTCCATTGGGAGTAACAGGCGTAATAACTTTATTATCATTTTTGAGTTGATATATTTTTGGTTCACCACAATGTCAATCAGTATGTAGGTAAACTAAACCAAATACTTTTCTGTATATCAAAATATCATTATAAACAAACAAACAAATGTATTATAGTTTAATTATGTTCGTCAGGGCCGTCCACTCTCTCCATTATTTGTTGTTGACGTGCTTTTAGAGATAACACTTTCCTCATTTAAATTTCCTGGGGTTGAACTTCTATCGGGAGATTCACTTTTTGACCTAGAATATGCCGATGACATGGTTCTATTTGGTGAAGATGCTGACAAAATGCAGAATCTTCTGACCACTCTAAGCAACAATGCAAGCATGTTCGGGATGCGATTCTCTCCCTCGAAATGTAAAATGTTGCTTCAGGATTGGGTTGCATCGACACCCGAACTAATGATAGGGAGTGAAGTAGTTGAGTGTGTCGACCGCTTCACTTATCTTGGGAGTCCCATCAGCTCTTGTGGTCTGGTGTGTGACGGAATCTCAGCACGGATACAGCAGGCTCAACTAGCTTTTGCCAATTTGCGTCATTTATGGCGTAGGCGAGATATCCGTCTATCAACCAAAGGACTTGTTTACTGCGCAGCAGTTCGTTCCGTCCTACTTTATGGCAGTGAAACATGACCGGTAAGAGTAGAGGATATTCGTAGGTTACTAGTATTCGATCATAGGTGTCTTCGAAACATTCCTCGTATATCCTGGGAACACTGAGTAAGTAATGCAGTAGTTAGGAAACGGGTACTAGGTAAGGATGGCAAATCAACTGATGAAGTAGTGAAACTTCATCAGTTGAGATGGCTGGGACACGTGTTACGTATGCCCAACCACCGACTTCTCCGACGTGCAATTTTTAATGGGGTAGCAGTAGGTTGAAAGAAATCTAAGGGCGACCAGACCACAACATGGCACAAGTCCATGAAGTCACTGACAAGTGGACTGAGTCATATTGGTAGGTGTAGACTACCTGGTTGGGGACCGCGAACTGATAGCAACCGATGGTTAGAGACCCTGAATGATATGGCTCAAAATCGTCTGAAATAACGCAGGTGCATTTACTCTTTGTGTTCTCCCAAATTCCAATCTCCTGAATCCTCCTTGTCTCTTCTTTTCTCTTTCCAAATTTATTTCACTGGATTATACTCTTTAAATAACATCTACAAACCCTAATGTTTCCGATTACTGCTTATACTCTTACCGCCTCTACCACTACGGGATTTGAATCGACAATTGCGTCTGTGTTAATGTGGTGTGGTAACTCAAACTGATTTACGTATGTACTTAAGAAGTTCTACGTCGTTACTGACTGACTAACTGATAGTTTAATTATATAACCAAATATAAATAATGGTTTACCTTTGTATGTTTCCAGTACTTTTAACAGATCCATCTTTTTCTGGTATCTATCTGTAAAAGAGAAATCAATCAAAAATAATCAAAGATGGATAGTAGGTAGCAGTAGAATACAGGACGCACGTCTCGTACTTTTTGGGACTCGTCACCTGGATGTAGTTGTACCTCAATGTTGCTGTTTACTCCGGGACTCCAACCCAGTACCGTTCACTTCAAACGCCATTGCTTTATCCACTTAGCTACTGAGTCCTGATAGTCACTTGTTTGTATAATGGGGTGAAAAGTTTAAATTCAATTGGTGTTGTTTGTTTGCAGGTTACCATTGTTGTTTAGGACTGCAAATGATTAATCTTCTAGTTACTATGTATACAATTAAAACGTACCAATTGACTGGTGAGGCTGTTACCTTATCAGTACTCATATAAGAATTAGATAGATACATAACTTGGATACAGCCATTAATTTTATTCATTAAGAAGAAAGGTTATACAAATCAGAAATGCATAATGTCACTGAACAATTTTTTTCTAAACGATACATGAAAGTTTTCAGAATACATTGAATTCGACTACTTTTATGATGTAGAATACATGGCATGATGCAAACTTGGTCGATAGGATTCGATTTACACTAAGAACGACCTGACATATATGACATTGATCACTACCTAGTGATCAATCAATTTTAAATTCATCTGAGTCCTACAGGAGGCCAGTCGGGGCTTGCATAGCTCAGTGGCAACATCTCTGACTGTAAAACTGGATGATACAGGATCGAATTTGTCAGGGAGCATCAGTTCCCTTAAGATTACCGGTACACCTTTCTGACGAGTGCAAAATAGCACGAAACATTAGGTCCAGGCTTTTCTGTTGACAACCTCTAATCACTATCCTATCTCAACATAGTTAACACAATGTTAAGTCACAAAGACTAGTTGCTAAATATCAACTTGATCGGTAGGATTCGGTCTGCACTGAAAATGACCTGACATGTATGGCATTGATCACCACCTAGTGATCAATCAATTGTACAAACGAAAATATTTTGAATTTGAAGAGGGAAGGTCTTAATTAGGATATATTATCTACCATTAAAGCACATATATGGAACTGCATCTTATATACAACAGGATAAAACATTGATTGTACAGTATATATTTGCTAAAATGTATTTACATATGTCCGAGAACGTGTTTTCATATTGGCTTGCCTGAATAACTCCCAATAACAGATTAATAAGACACAAGTATAAGGGCCACATTTTCAGTGGAACATCGTTGTCGATTCTTCTGTATTTATATCATTAGATAATGATGACCATTGGTTAAGTCAAAGTGATTGAAAATAACTGAGTTGTATTCGTTGAATAAGAAGTAAAATATACACAGTATGAATGATCAATATGCATTGTGCATACAAACATACACACATATATACCTGTGCTCAATTTATCACATCTATCAGTAGAATGAGTTGTACTGAGCATAATTTAGAGACTGAATAGTTTAGACAGGAATGATTTGAGAAGGTGGTAATTTTCTACTATCACTGTTGTGATTGTTCAATCCTAGGACTGTGAAAATTGTTGGGTTTCATTGAGATCAAAGATCTGTCAAAGTTAGATCACTATTATGTGCTCATTAGTGACTAGCTTCAAGAGAGAGTTCTTATAGTTCTTTCAGGAATCCGTGAACAATAGAGTACAATCATTTTGGGTATGAGACAGTTACTCACTGAAATCAATGTAAGATGGTCGCGCATTATCGTGGATTGGTTGATGTTAGACATGAATACTGTTTGATGTTGGTACAGTTGTCTAGCAGTTAAACATTCATCCACTAACCCGAACGTTCTAGGACTGATTCCAGTGTGAAGAATAGTGGGTGAGTACTGTCGAGGGGTCTCATACTAGAATGAAACGGCCGTCTAGTGCTACGAATTTCATTCGAATGCTTACGTTTCAAACATGTTGAATACTACTTACAATGAAATTATTGGAATTCATGCTGGCAAGTGAATTATTTATTCAGATAATCGAAATTTTAAAACTCTATGGTTTCTAGTAGTATTACTTGAATTAGTATAGTCATATGTACCATTTTGATTATAGATCAATATTCACATCGATAGTAAACCAATCCTTCTTCATCCTTCCGTATATATATAGGGTCCAATTATTGAGGAATATTGGATACTTTGGCAAACGTTTCATGAGAATGACTACAGATTGCAACTGTCTCTGATTGAACGAGAGAACCTACGGTCACTACCAGTGAACATTTTATCTATTATGTGTAAATGTACGAGATAGACTCACATGTTAATGAAAAATTTAAACAACGAATATAAATGACAAGTTGATCCCACTGAAAGAAAATGATGGTTCCAAGTGTCAGTAAGTAGAAACGAAACGTTACAGATTGATCTCTCCTATTTACTTACACATACGTCGAAATGACACAATGTTTGTCATTATTCATGTGGGAAGACAGAGTAGCGCATCTACAGTAGGAAACAACATACGATCAAAAAGACGTGAATGTGAGATATACAAGTGTATCTCTCAGTATTTGTAACATCAGTCAACTACGCTTTTGTGTACTATACATATTAACGGTACTTGTTTCATTCAGCGATATCACAGTGATACATTACAGTGTCTGAGTACACAGTGATACTTTAACTACTTTGTTGTTAATTAAAACAAGTGCAAACTGATGACCACAGAGTGGGTAGACACGATAACGTATCAATCGTTTCATTATTTACGTCAGTGAAATGTTGTCTAACTGCAAATGATGGTACAATCTTCGTAGAGTTACAAAATTGTGAAGATAGGACAAACTTATTTTGTATTACTTTCATTAATTTCCGTAAGTTGTACATTTACTATAAGTGACTGTAAAATAGATGGTTAAAAACGAATCATCTTGAATCTTTACTATTTTCCGTTTTCAATCCCTCCCCCATAGAACAACACACTGATTATCGTTCATAAATACACTGTTACACACATACGCCTCTTATTCTCAATTACTTGTTGTTATGACAACAGAACTCGAATGTGTTTACGATTGACGTTTACAGATCACAACGATATTCCCACTACATACATCATTTGGATATATACAGCTCGAACCATAACAATTATGATCGGAATTATTAACTACTGATAATTGTGGATAATTATACCAAATGAAAATCGAACACTCCAATTCCTGACAATTTAAGTTAGGTCCAGTAACTGTAGTAGTAGTAGTAGTAGTAGTAGTAGTCGTAGTAGTAGTAGTAGTAGTAGTAGTAGTAGTAGCTGTAGTAGTAGTAGTCGTAGGTGTAGTAGTAGTAGTCATAGTAGTAGTAGTCGTAGGTGTAGTAGTAGTAGTAGTTGTTGTTGTTGTTGTAGGTTTAGCAGTAGTAGCAGTAGTAGTAGTAGTCGTAGGTGTAGTAGTAGTAGTAGTAATATTAGTAGTAGTAGGAGGGGGAGGAGGAGTAGGAGGGGTAGGAGGAGGAGTCGCAGTCGTAGATGTAGTAGTAATATTAGAAGACTGACCATGATTCTCCCAATATTCTATTTTTTGTCCAACTCTACTAAAACTGTTTCATTATTTAAGATAATTAAGATATTTTAACTGTCTATGAACTTTCGTACTTAACAGACTAAAATCTTATCAAAAATTTGATATTTTCTTTTAAACATCGGTATTAATGACAAAACATCTTAAAACAAAACAAAAAACTAGCTCATTATATTCTCTTATCTTTTTGTGAATGTAACCAAAATGATACTCTATTTATCAATGTGATTTGGTATAAAATTGAAAACTTTGTATTCTACTGTAAACAATAATGAGGTGATTTATCATATGAATCATTTGAAGTTTACTCTCGAACATCCATACCGCCAAAACAATTTAAAAAATGAAAACAACTCATTATATATTCTCTTATCTTTTTGTAAATATGATTAAGATTTTTGGTATCTTACTGTAAGTAATGATGAGGTGATTTGTCTGGACGAGACGATAAAAATGTGCTGAATAATCTTAGATTAAAATCAAACATCATTTTTAGCATTCCGATTATTGAATTGACTTGAAAAAACGGTAATGATTGCTTAAATCAAGTAGTGATGAAAATGTAGCGTGGTGTCGAGTTGAGATTAACTATGAACAACGCTACCAAGAAACACGTGTCAAGTAAATCAGAAGGCGAAGGTTGAACGTAACCAAAGAAATCCATAAAATCCCCGAGAAGCCAAATATCAGAAGGCAGTTAATGGACCAAGTCGAGATATATTTGCTGGCGATCTCGTGGTATCGAAAGGATACCGAGATCGTGCCAGGATACAAGCTTGGTTACAGAACGTAACCAAATTCGCGCGAAGTCACAATCAAAGTGTGGGGATAAGAATGGAAGCACAATATAGCTGTCATTAGCACAGTCAAACAAAAGCACATTAAAACAAACATTGGCATAGTTGGTTATAATAATAATTGTTTTTATTAAACCAGTCGTATTCTCGTGATAAATGTGAGTCACTACAAAAGTAAGCAGCTAAGAATGATTGTTTAAATGAACATTTAACGAGAAATATTTTTAACATTCATTAGACATTGAATACAGCATTGATGGTATGTTTTTATTTATGGGCATATTAGAGATTAGATCAATGAAGTGAAAATGGTTTACTGTAAGGATTTATCGTTGTCAATGTTTGGTTTTTCAGAGTTCTTTAGTAATTTCTTTGTACGAATTAAGGTTGCTATGTCGACGCTAAGACCTAGTCGTCTGTCAATGATCGGGTTCTGTAGTTAATGAAGAGGGTTTTGAGACAAAGTATAAAATAGGGATAACGACTAGATGGATCATAGACAAGTCAGATACGATCGTTGTTTAATCCAACATACTACGACTTCATTGATCATAAGTAAGCATTCAACAACGTTGATAGAAAAACTTTAAGGGATTTTTTCGACGGTATGACACACCTGAGGTGATTATCACTGTTATCCAGAACTGTGCTGAGAAACTGAATTGCAGAGTATTGCATAGTATGCCGCTTACAAACGTTCTTTAAGTGATGGATAGTGTGAGGTAGGGCTATCCACTTATACAAGTCTTTGTTCTTTCAGCTGTTGACTGGATTATGAAGATCAGTGGAACTCAGGAACAACACAGGATATAATGTACAGATTGAATTCAGATGGATAATTTGGTGTTTGAGAATGACTTAGATCTTCTACCGCACACACTCCAACAGATGCGGGTGAAAACAGCTAGTAAGCAGTCGGCTTCCTCAATTCAAGGCCTCAGCATCCACAAGGTAAATATCCTAAGGTACAATACAGAAGGCATCAGACAAATCATACCTGATTGCGAAACTCTCGAGGAGTTAAAAGCCTGTAAGTATCTGGGCAGCATTACTGACAAACGAGGGGAACCTGATGCAGATATAAAGACGCGAATTAAAAAGCTAAGGGCGGGATTCCTGCAACCAAAGAACATCCGGGACCCGACAAAACTGTCGTTCAACACCAAAGTCAGAATTTTGAATGCCAACATTAAAACAGTCCTACTGTACAATACTGATATTCAGAGAACTACCACAATTGTTATAAAAAATTGCAGGTAGTTGTAAGTAGTTTTTTACGTGAGATTTTCCATTTCGATCGCTCAAAAACTATCAGCAATATCTTGGCCTAGTAGACAGTAGTTGAGGACTTAAGTGAAAAAGACGCTGAGAGTGGATTGGTGTAGTATTTATACTAATTGATGATTATTTTGTACTAGATTGTGTGCTTATTACGAATTCCAAATATGATACGTTTATTTGTGCTCAATTAGCTTTTTCTGTCTCAAATTGCACTGTTTCAGTAATTCCTAGTTACCATATAAATTAAATTGCTTTTAATCATCGAAATAGTACATACTTTACGGAAAACGTTAAACTGGATTGCATAGTAAGCTTTAAATACAAACCTGCGGTTATTGTACTAACTGACAATTCCTTAGTACTTGACTAGGTGCTAATTGTAAACTCCAAATATAGTACGTTTTGTAGTACCCATCTAGTTCTGAATTTCTCAAGTTGGGTTACCTCGGGAATCCTTGGTTAGTGAATCGATTCGAATACCTCTAATTATCGTAAACTCCCAAAAGGCTATAGGGAGTTATGCAGGGCGACAACACATTACTCCATCAATCGCAAGCAGACATGAATACCACGAACGCTACTTGTAAATAATAAACAAAGACAAGAACAGAATTGCTTGGAGATCCCTAGCTCGCTGTTTATGCTCATAGAGCGGTAAGTTGCTTAAGGCAGTGAAAACTTTGTCTTACACTGTTCCTACTCGCTCCCTTTCCACTCCTTCGTATATTGCTTTATACTACTTATTTACGTCCAGTAAGCAGTTGTATTCCCAACAATTTTTACACTTATGTTGTCACGCCTGTTGAAGTGTAGTATTCTGAAACGTTCACACATATTTATTAGGTTTATTGTAATTATCATTGTATTTATCACTATAATTACTGTGCCTTAATCACTGCAATGGTTATCCACAGTTTTGTGCATTTGTTTGAACGCAACAGTTTCCATATTGTTTTGCTCTTGATTCGAGTTTCGATTGTTCATAAACTGTTATCAAATTTATACATAGCTATCAGCTGTCCTTTGTACTATCGTATGTTGTAATTATTCTTTATGTTACTGTTACAGGAAGCCTTGTTAATTTTCATACTTGAAGGACGCGTTTAAACGCCCCAGATACTTCAAAAGTTGAAGTTTGTAACTAAGTTTAGTGTATTATTCAATAAAAAACAGCTATTGTAGACAAATCGTTGTTTTGAAAACTCCGGTTTTGCGCGTATCTCAATCGGGTGAATTGGATGATTCAATAGATCTAACAGGCAGTAAGCAATTAAATTCGCAGTTTCTGATGTGATTAGACGATATTAAGTCGAAACGTATAAGGCGTACAACTGTGGATTCATGAATTCCACTGAGACTTGGGGATAGTTTTCAGATGTAGAACAACAGGGATCAAGAAGTTCCTTATTCCATCACGCAAAATCTCATGAGTATATATTTATAGTAAACATGGTAGCGGTAGGAATAATCGAAATGCCTCTCCAAAGAGTTTTGTCATTTTTTATTTTCCGCCCTGTCTAATGTAATAATTTTCAGCCAGGACTTGGAAAAATATTTTGCACTTCTCATTCCCAGCAAAATCCATCCTGGGTAGCAGAGTTGGTCTCCATATAATCTTTCTATTAGCCCTGTGACCTAATTTGTGGCTTGACCGTTTACTTGTTCGAAAAGCTTCTGATTCCTCGCATGGAGATGAGGTACTGTAGTGGTAGTAATTTCTAACCGCTCTATCATCTGAGCTAAATGTATAATGACTGAGATTTGTGACAGCCGTTGAAAACTTAAAGAAGGCCAGGAGAGGTGTGCGCGGGATCTCTGAATAAAGACTGCTTGGCTCACACATCCACCCGTGATCATCCTGTGTGACATCTTGCCTTTATATTGAATATATAATTATATTCCTGGCCCATATATGTTCTTCAGAAGACCTAAGAAGCAATCGCTGGTTGCCACATTGGATGGGTCAGTATAGATAATGATGTGACTTCCACAGATCTTGTGGGTTAGATGACCATGCCATAGCAAGTCCACAATTTTGAACTAAGTCTATCATTCTTGTGGCATGGTTAAATATACTAATGCTCAACTGTCCACAAATCATTCAGTCCTATAGCACTGTGAGTTTGAATATGTTGGTGTACTTATTTTCTGAATATTGTGAGAGAGAGCTTAACTGTCAAGACGTCCAATCAGCTCTGAATAAAGTAGAAGATGGTGCATCCGTCGGTTGCATCCTCCTGAAAGCTATCATTGATATTCGGTCTTTCTGTCGCTCTTGGTCTATCACTGTGCTCTGTATAAACAGTTGGGAAGAAACTATTGTCTAGAGCATAATGTTTTGTGTCCTGTGGGTCTCAACGTTCATAACGTGACACTGATGAGCAAACCGTAGCAATTTCTCAACATTGAGTGAGACACGGCATATTACTCCAACCAAGTACTTCGTGCTGTTGGTATTGGATGAAATCAGTAAGATTTGGTGACTTTGATTAATCCGCTACTGTGTGTTGTTACAGTTTTGAAGTGACTGTTAAGACAACGCAACTCTACCTCTCCTTTCGTGCACACTGTCATATAAAAAAGTGTCATACCTTAAAGGTCAACTTGTGCATCCATGATGTTGGACGAGAGTCATGTTTCAGTAAGAAAGATAGTCTCCGGATCTAGCTAAAGGGACAGGTTTATAACCTCTTCTGATTCGTCCCTTAATCCTCTTACGTTATTATAGGGCTCTTGGTATTTTGCCTCATCACCTGACGTTCACCCACAGCAGTATTTGTCTTCGGAGTTAAAAACGGATTGTTTTCCGAAGTGTCTGGTCGGTTCTGTTGGAAGTATCCACTGCAGGCTTCTTGCCAGTATAGCGTGTTACATTAGTGGAATCATGAACTACGTGTCCTGTATCGTGGGATGTTGATCGAGGTCGTCTGACTCAAGGCTGTTTTGTATTCGGGTTTTCTGATATTATCTTACCGAGCTGTGCAGGCTCTCACATCTTATGTGACTGGAGTGTATATGCTTCAAATTTTACCAGGCACGAAGTGTCTCTTAGTATAAAAATATAAATCAATGGAACCAGGCAATCAGATACATCGAATCCCAATGAAAATAATGGCATCGATCCCCATCAATATACACAAATCGTCTAACATAGACTCAGTCAAACACTGGACTATGTGGCCACAACACGAACCCATACACCTATAAAACTAACGACTGTTGCAAATGTCCCAGATACAATCTGTCGAGTCTCCTCATAGCACTGGACAGGTGAAAGATCTGTTGCGACCAAACGTTAACCGTCTAAAGATGCCAACAAATAGTCACATTCTAATAATACCTTTACACGTTATACCTTTACAATCAAAGCATACCAACCCACTCAAATCATATGCCAGAAATGAAGGGG